GTCACACTTTAGGCCCCTTAGTGCCAATTGGGCATCGTTTAAAAGCCACGGCCTACCTGAGCATTGTTTCTGACCATGTCCATCCCTTTATGGCCACCATGTACCCATCCTCTGATGGCTACTTCCAGCAGGATAATGCACCATGTCACAAAGCTCGAATCATTTCAAATTGGTTTCTTGAACATGACAATGAGTTCACTGTACTAAAATGGCCCCCACAGTCACCAGATCTCAACCCAATAGAGCATCTTTGGGATGTGGTGGAACGGGAGCTTCGTGCCCTGGATGTGCATCCCACAAATCTCCATCAACTGCAAGATGCTATCCTATCAATATGGGCCAACATTTCTAAAGAATGCTTTCAGCACCTTGTTGAATCAATGCCACGTAGAATTAAAGCAGTTCTGAAGGCGAAAGGGGGTCAAACACAGTATTAGTATGGTGTTCCTAATAATCCTTTAGGTGAGTGTATAATCTAATACTATCTCTCAGAGTTTGTCACTGTAAAAACATCTCAACACACACCGTAACTCATAACTTAAACCTAATTTTAACTATTTGTAAGACTTGTAGACATTGTTTCTTTCTCTCAGGTGGACACTCATATTCATGCAGCTGCCTGCATGTCTCAGAAACACCTGCTGACATTCATCCAGGAAACATATAAGACCGATTCTGGCCGCGTGGTGTTGGAAAAGGCTGGAGAAAAGATGACCCTCCAGCAGGTTTTCCACAACCTCAATAAGGACCCCTATGACCTTACTGTGGACTCTCTGGATGTACATGCTGTAAGAAAAGTAGATGCCACTGTGTTTATGCATTAGGTTTCATAAAGTTTTGTGCTTTTCTGTAAAAATATGTTGAAATGGGAGCAAAATTAATAAATTTCTCAATTTTGTCAGAATGTGGCTAAAATCAGTTAATTTTGTTCCTGTCAAAGCAAAAATGGATAGAAATTTCATTTAAGAAATCTCTCTGCTATCTACAGTTCCTTCATTCTCTTTGCCTCTAATTTGTGTCACTTAATGTCACTGCCAGTGCAGGAAATACCTTGCATAAGCACTTTTTCATGACTGACTATTCTGGGCTTTTTATTTATAAACCTTACAGGGGAGACACACCTTCCACCGGTTTGATAAGTTTAATTCGAAGTATAACCCAGTAGGAGCCAGCGAACTTCGGGAAATCTTCCTGAAAGCAGACAACCTCATTAACGGAGAGTATTTTGCTCGCATCATAAAGGTATCATATCCTGTAATCCCACATTTTAAGTCAGAACTGACGCAGAGACAGTTTAACTCACTCTGCTTCTCCCCTTCAATAGGAAGTGGCCCATGACCTGGAAGAGAGTAAGTACCAGCATGCAGAGCCACGCCTTTCTATCTACGGACGCTCTCCAGACGAGTGGGACAGTCTGTCTAAGTGGTTCATTCACCACAAAGTAAACTCTCCAAACATGAGGTGGATCATTCAAGTGCCCAGAATATAGTGAGTGATAAACAATTCAAGCTTAGAATTTAAAAGTATTTCTTAAAATGTAAAATTTTCGAAGCATATAAGACAATGTTTTTATGTGTTTCAGTGATATTTTCAAGTTGAAGAAGCTGGTACCCAATTTTGCCAAGATGCTGGAGAACATATTTCTTCCTCTATTTGAGGCTACTGTTAACCCACAGAAGCACAAAGAACTTCATGTTTTCCTCAAATATGTAAGATGTTGTAATTTTGTAGGGTTCATCATATCATATCACAACCTACAGAGCATGCATGAATGTGCAATTCATGCCATGAAATTATTCATTTTAGTTCACAAAAACAGTGAATAATTCCCTCAAGATTTTATTTATGCTTAAAATGGCCTATTTACTGGTATTCATTGTTGTACTTAGACCCCCATCCCCCATGTTTTATTTATTTGCAGTATATAAACACATAATAAATGGTTTATAACACACTCTAATGTAGTTACAAGCAGATACACAACTGTGAAGCATCCACAAGTGGAGGCCAGTATATAAACAGATAATAAGTGACAATATAGAAAAACACAGTTGTAGTTAATAAAATCTTCTTCATAGTCTTCATAGTATTAATTGATATAATAGTAGACAAATACTATACATTAATAAACACTTACATCTGCTCACACATTATAGTGTGTAAAAAACAATTTATTAAATGTTTCTGCTTATAAATGCTAAATGGGAGTCCAAGTAATGGAAATTAATTTATTGATTTTGGGAAGATTAAAGAATTCAAGGGCATGGGTAATTAATTTGGGTATAAAATTAAAATTAGAGTAACCACATTTCAATTATTTGACATAATTCTAAAAACAATTTACTCTGGATACCTGCCAGACTTCATAAAACTATTCCACAAGTAAATTAGTACATTTCTTTTTTGTGTGTGTGAAGGTGTCAGGCTTTGACAGCGTGGACGACGAGTCCAAACACAGTGATCACATGTTCTCCTTCAGGAGCCCAAAGCCTGAACAGTGGACTGCAGACGACAACCCTCCCTACAGCTACTACATCTTCCACATGTACGCAAACATCATGGTCCTCAACAACCTCAGAAAGTAAGACCATAACACCTTCTTTTTTCTTCGATCATTAAAGGGGAGGACTTTGCTGTGAGATTGATGGAGGACTTTACAATCTAGGACCTGATTGGACAGTTTACTTTGTAGAACTCTATGAGAGGAAGTGATTGATTAACCAAAGGACAGTAAGCATTTTACAAGTACTGAACTGCTGAACATTCTTTGCTGATGTGGTATCCCGATATGCAGTGAAGCTGATATATCTATAAATACTCTCAGAATGATGAATATAATGATGAACAAAATAAGACACTGTCACTCTGTTTTCGTATATTGATTGACCGGTTTACTTTTTCCCTTTGTGTCCTCTACAGAGAGCGTGGACTGAGCACCTTCCAGTTCCGTCCCCATTGCGGAGAAGCTGGATCAATTACTCATTTGGTCTCTGCCTTTCTCACATCTGACAACATCTCACATGGACTCAACTTGAAGAAGGTACAGACTTGTTGACCGGGCCATTTTCTTTTCCTACTATTACAGCAATTAAAGTTCAGATGTTGTCTGCAGAAGTTATAAGGATCAAAAAGGGATTTTTCCCAGGGCAAGGAGTGGGTAACATGTTGCTGCTTCTGTGTGGGCTCACCCCCAGCCAAAGATCAATAATATGACTGGGTTTTCAATGATCTTCTATGTGTTTTGTCCCTCTTCAAAATGTACTGTAGACTGAAATAGCCACCACAATGTGAGAACATAGGGAATGTTTGTTTCGATGAGTCTTAACTTTTTGACCAAAAGGCAACATGATCAACGCTAAAATACACTTTTCATCCTTCTGACTGTTTTGAAGTATTTGTTTGTCCTTTTCAGACCAGGTTTTTGTCAGCTTTTGTATCCGAAATGTCCTGCAGATTTCCCGCTATTAGCGCTGCGGTTCACCACAGAACAGTTGAAAATGTGAGAATTGCAGGTCAGAGAGAGGAAAATGGAAGTTTTGAATTTCCGGTGGATGGACATTATGTTCCAAAAACAGAGGCCAGGAAGTGAGTCCTGAAGAAAGGAAAATAGATGACACTGCTATTGATCTGAAACCCAAAACTGCACAGATGTACAGTATTTAAGTCATTTCTTTCAGCGAGCGGCAGCACGGTGGTGCAGTGGTTAGCACTGTTTCCTCACAGCAGGAAGGTTGTGGGTTCAAACCCCAGTTGCCCAGGCCTTTCTGTGTGGAGTTTGCATGCTCTCCCCATGTCTGCGTTACAGCTGCCCACTGCTCCCTTCAGGGATGAATTTCACTATGTGTATATGACAATAAAGTACATTTACATCTGGGTAAGTTATTTATTAACTACAATAACCCAACTGTATCCCAATGTAAATAAGTCTGGACAATGTGGATAAAGGCCTACAAGTTCTAATAGTTTATCAGGTTGTGTTCATTATAGGGAAATAGAATCATTTAGATTTAACAATTCAGTACTTGTGAGTGCTTGTACAAAACTGAAACATACTAGCATATTTTGCATGTAAACAGCTGATGAGAGCATGTAAATGGATTTATGTAAGGAGATGATTCTTAAATCAGGAGAAAGCTTGTAATATGGACATCAAACAACAGTGGAGCACTGTATGTACATGTGTGCCGTATGTGTTTGTCTGACTGCCAGAGCAGTATTTGCTTTTTTAAACTTCATTTTCCCCCAGAGCCCTGTGCTGCAGTACCTGTACTACCTGGCCCAGGTGCCAATTGCAATGTCTCCACTCAGCAACAACAGCCTCTTCCTGGAATACTCCAAAAATCCTCTCCGAGAGTTCCTGCACAAAGGCCTGTGCGTGTCCTTGTCCACAGATGATCCCATGCAGTTCCACTACACCAAGGTACACAACAACAAATACACAGGAAATATAGTATTTCTAGGCTGCACTTCAGTATGTTAGAATCTTACTACTAAACATACTCTTGAAGTGTGCTTTAGATGGATTTATTTCTACAGTGTAAATTATTCTTATCCATTCTTTGTGTGTCCTGATTCTAGGAACCACTAATGGAGGAGTACGCTATAGCAGCTCAGCTGTGGAAGCTAAGCACCTGTGATGTGTGTGAAATAGCCAGAAACAGTGTGCTGCAGAGTGGACTGTCTCACCAGGTACACTGACACTTTCACTCCTCCTTTTTCTATGTCATACTCTCCTCTCCACTACATTGAATCATCATTGATCCCGTCTCCCAACAATTTATTTTATTTTTTGGTTACAGGATAAGAAGCACTTCTTAGGCGCAAACTATCTGAAGGATGGGCCTGAAGGGAACGATATCTGTCGGACCAACGTCGCCCAGATCCGCATGGCCTACAGACATGAAACACTGTGCAATGAACTTAGCTTCATAGTTGACGCAGTGAAGTCTGAAGTTATGAATTCCGAGTATGAATAAAATCCCACCATGCTGAGCACTCAGTAAACACCATTTAAATTTATTTTGAAAAATGTCAGTAGTGACCATGATGAATAAATGAACAACACAATATCACATCATAACTAAAAAGCAAAACTTAGCTGGTTGATAACAAAGGAGTTTGGTAAAGTGAAAACGCATGCCTTGGATGACAGGATTATGATGGCTCTCAAAGGAATAGACAAAAGCTGTGGAGGGCCAGACGTGTGTGAAGTAAATTAACACACTTGTCATTAGACTAACCCACTTTGTATAAACAGTTGTACCTAACACTCCATTTTGTGATGGGGTATGTCATGCACTTGAAGTTTTTCAGTTACTGTAAACACTGTACATTGGACATAAGAACACTTATGGTAGAAAAAGCTTTAAACAATGTTAGTTCAGACAACTCTGATTAGAGATGAATGATGTCCAGTCTGGGACTCTTCCTGTGTCTCTCCCTTAAACGTCTGTAAAAAAAGAAGTTTCAGTTTGTTTTTTGGAAAGCTATCGGTGTATTGAAAGATTTGGGAGATACCTAAGTTCATAATGATATATACCGCTTTTAAAAAGTGCTTGAAATTGTTGAAGAAATGTTGCATTTACGTGTATGTTCTTTGTCTCTAAGCAGCACACAGTATCTTTATAGAATAAAAGGTCTTCAGTCTTCACAATGATTGTTTTTCAAACATTGCCATCTAGTGGCTAAACTGCACCATTTAATAATGTCAGATGACTGAAAATACTAACAAAGACATGGAACACATTCAAAAATAAATCCACTTCTGTTCCTTTCACACAAAACAAAGACACAACAAGAGACTTATCTTTATCCTTGAAAAGAATATTACTCAGTGGTTGTCCACGGAGTGTTACCTAAAAATATCTCATCAGACGATCAAATGTTTAATTTGCATTGTCGCCCACTTCTATCCTCTCATCTTCCTCAACATCTTCCTTGGATTCCTTTGTATTCTTCTCACATGTCCACTCTTCTGTCTGGATGTGCTCTAGCTGCTGCTTCACCTCAGAGCTCAGAACGTGACTCCTTCTCCTTTTCACAGAGAGAAAGAAACCAATCATACTCTGCACTAATAGATAGTAACACGAAAGGGAGAAACATGATTTAATATGCAATACCAGGCATTTTTTCATGAAGGAAAGATGCTTTGTATCAGTTTTCACACAGTTTTTTGACCTCAGTATTACATATATTATTTTCATATGGAAAACCACTCACATTTTTATGTATGCAAGGATGATTATTGCAACAAGGAAAAGGGCACACATTGAGGTGATGAGTATGGCCTTTGCTGGAAAAATAAAACATGGAAGGGAAAGACATGAGTCAAACAAAACAAAAATCAAATCCAAACATTTATGAAAAAAGGACTTTGTTTGTATTTTACTCGTATGTTTTCACTACTTTTTACTACTGTATTTTTCAAAAACCTTTACAGCATAAACTCTGTTGTGAGCAAAACTCTCATACCTCCAGTAGGGCCCTGTGCACTGCTGAGAAACTGGGCTGGTCCTGCCTTGCTGTCTATGGTTTTAGGAGTTGAGGAGGAAGAAGGAAGAAGGGATGAGGAAGATGTAGAGTGCATATTCAGTATCGAGTCTGCTGCCCTGGAAAAAGACTGAGTTTGCCCCAAGTTAACCCTTCTGCTCAAAGGGCTTTCCGTTGTATCCTTCAGTTGTGTTGCTGCATCTGTTTAAAGCCATGAGAGATTAGATAAGTTTTAAACAAAGAGCATGTCATTTGATAAATGTATGTTTGAGTCAAATTGGTTTTAACTTTGTATTTGCTAGGAAAATTGTATCTGCCTCCCATTGCAACAATGTACTGATAGTGCTGTTCTTGTGCAGGTTCCTTGACATAGTGTATGAAAATATTAAAAGGGCATTTCTGATGGTAATGTTACATATTCACTTAAAATCCTCATAACCCCACATAATTGTGGAGGTTTAAACAAAGCTCCACAATTCTGTTTTCCCACAATTTCAGTTTACCAACAAGTAGTTTTCTATATGTACTAAAAAATGCAGCTGAATAATAATAATAATTAACATAGGCAACATCTGAGGTATTCAGCCACATTCATCTGAGTTAATACCGTGATGTATATCAACTTTCAATCAGATTGTTTTGTTTAAAGAACAAAAAGCCAGAGGTGTGTAAATAAAAGCATGGAAGATATCTTCAATCAATCAATGAACATCAATGAACGTTTCCTCTTAATATGTAGTGTAAAGCCAGAGACAAAGATGTATATAACAGTGTAATACCTGATTCATTAAAGCAAAACACATCAAACTTTTTTGTAACAGAAGCTCGCCATGTCACCAAGCCCGCTTGGTTTTGGCCACAATTAGAAAGGGCCTTTCTGCGGGGAATCACTGCAAGATGCTCATCGATCCATCCATACCTGAACAAAACAAAACATGACATAACATCAGGGACTTCATTAAACTCCACTGAGATAGCTGAGGTGATCTTGTGAATTTCTTCTCTGGTCTTTTACCTGCACGTTTCTAAACCTCTGGTGAGCGCTTCTTGTACTTGTGCTTTTGAGGCAATGTTCACACCGAGGGACAAGCATAGCCTCCGAGCTTCAGAGACATTGAAGGCATACTCTGGCTGGTTGAGGTTATTTAACAAGCTAACCTGGAAAACTCCAGCAATACTTTGGCTCGCTGCTGGGAAAACTTGAAACAGCATATAAAACATATTCAGATTTAGGTTTACAGTATTTGTAGAAGCAGTAAATGTGATGAAACACAAACAGATTCTACTTTTAGGAAGAGGAGTTGCCTACATTTATCCACAGAAACAAAAAAGAATATTCTACTTATGAACAAAGATCAAAACAGCTGGAATCACCTACCTGTGATGCGGCTTGCATTAATACATTGATTGGAGATGACTAGAGTAATTGACAACACAGATGTGATGCAAAGCCAGATCATATTAACAAGTGGTCAAAGTAGAGACGGGTGAATGCCAGGGATGACAAGTGCTGCAGGGCTTATGTGTCTGTGAGTCAAATGAGGGGGTTAAATAGAGGTGATTCTGCTCACTGGGTTTTGTTCATTGCCAAAAAATAAAGGAAAAGGAAGTGGGCTGTACTGCTTATGGGTCAAATCAAGAGCCATCATATGTTCTAGGAGCAGGGCCCAGGAGAAAAAGAGATAAAACGAATTTGTCAACAGGAGACAAAGCTACAGAAAGCCACTAGGAGGCAAAATGCATTCATGCTCCAGGAATAATAAAATGATGATTTAAACAGAAAAGCTCTTTGACTTAAACAAGTGATTTTCAGTTAAGTACATAAACAATGCATTAATTGGATTAATTGGAAGTTTATACCATCAGAATAAACCATGTAAAAAAGCACTGGTCCTATCCTCAGAGAGTAAGTGATTTGCACCATTACTGACATCTGACCCTGGGCACTTTTCTCCAAATGGTTTCCTCCCATGGGACATTACTCAGTCATGAACATGCTTATGATCTCTGGTATCCTCTGATGAGCCTTTGGCACCTGGCAACATCCCACTTCCACAAAAACATCTCATCAAAAACACCCTGAACGGCAGGAAATGACGCAAAGAGCACTGACGAACATGCAGCAGTGTTTTTGTAAGATGTGAGGTGTCAATGAGGATATATGTAATATATGTCAATCTGGAGCGACGATAAAGGAACGGGTACTTCTCATAATGCTGGGGTTTCTGTGTCTTTGGGGTCATAATAAGATCCCTAGTGTTAAATTAGAGTTACCTTACATTTCATTACACTAAATGGTTTCCTGAGATAATTAGACATCCCCAATGAGAGTGTGATACAAGTTTGATGTGTTGGAAAGTTGGAACAGGCATGTTGGTGAACAAGAAAATATGACTGCAGTGACATTCTGTTGTTTCCGCAACCTCATGTTGACAACGAGACTCCAACCTTTCGTTTTTACCCTTCAGTTTTGGTTTGGATAAACAAATGAGACATAACGTGCTTGTCGTAACTCTCACACCATATCCAGTCTCGGTTGGCAGTAGCTTCATGTTTAGCAAAGAGGCATGAGAGCGGTATCAGTCTTCTCATCTAAATCTAGGAAATGTGTTTATTTCATGAAATGGATCAAAATGACAATGTTAAAACAATGTGACAATGTAAAAGGCATCGCGTGTAGCAAAGCCTACAAAACCTACAGAGAATTATCACCTGAATCTGCAACTACCCATGGTTTTATGGAGCATTATAGTGAGGTTTAGCTCTCAGGCTGCAACTTTTCTGCTTTGGTTCACTCTCACCGCTCTAATTGTGTCATTTTTGGGCCACAACAGGCAGCTGTTTACACCTAAAACACACTAAAACCCGCAGTACACCATAACCACAGATATTTCCCTCAAAAGTTGGTGGAGACCAAAAACGGAGTTACAAGAAGAGTAAATTTTTAACATGCATCCGCCGTGTGGCCAGAAACATAACTCCAAATAAATTATTGCTCAATAACTGCTGGATGTGTAAATACGCAAGTGTTTGCTAACAAGTTCACCAAATCAACTTAAAAGTTAAAATGTTGTGTTCAGCTGGTTTGCGCTGTGCCCAAGTGGACAAAAATTTGAAATAAAACTTGGCTGTTGCAGGTTTAAGTCCTCTGGTTGGTATGTTGGAAGACGGATTGTAGCACCAATCTGCTTTGATAGCAACTTATATTCCTCAATGGAAATGACTACAATATGTTTTCAGGCACCTTTATTTAAAGGTAGCAGAGCATAAAATCCACAGAAAACACAGGCAGGCACACATGTGCAAAGAATTAAAAAAAATAAGCCTCATGCCATCTAAACAGTGCTCTCATACAAGAAGAAAATCTCAGTGCTCTGAAGACACAATCCAAAATGGCACAAACGAGAACCATCAACTGCAAAATATTGCACTTAAGGAACTACTTTGGAATGTGCTTATGTTTAAAGTATTTAAATACACATTGTAGAAATTGAACAAAAATTAATTCTATGTCCTTAAATATGACTTCAAAATCTCTCAGGCTTCATTATGTATTGGACCTGATAGATTATACTTTAATATTGTGTAGATAAATACACACTTTGCACAGCATTTAATTAAAAGTGTCATATTCATCATCAAAACGTACCCAAACCAGAACATATCATTACCTATGATCTACTTTGAATATATATTTAATCACACTATATAATTGGTCCCTAAATAAAATCCTTAACCCTAATCCTTTTTCTCAATTTTTCGATTGTAACAAAATTATAAATTAATGCTGTTAACCATGACAAAGGCAACATTATCCATAAAGCCTCCCAAGACGTCTTTGGCCCTTGAGAGTCAGGGTCATGGATTCAAGTGAGCCTGAGTATGGTGATATGGTAAACTGACAGAGACAGAGGACGACTGTCGCCTCTGTTGTTTCTGTGCTGGGGTTCTTTGGTTGTGCTGCTACACTTGATCCAAAGATCTTCATCTCGCCTCGCACAAAGTCCTTCACTGCTTACGTGTCCTCATGTCTCTTGTAGTAGCCACTGAAGAATGTAAAAATACTGATAACCAGACACATCACCACAAACAGTGTCAGGGCGATCCAGAGAAGTCGCCGACTCATGGAAATCTTGGGACAAAACCGTCCAAGAAGATCCAGGACCTCCTCCATCCTCCTGTGAAGATAATGTTTACAGTATAGATCCGGTATTTTCATTGCTGTCAACAGTTTTATATGTGTATTCAAATGAAATGATAGGAGTTTCATAAAATGACAGATACGTATCTAAATATTCAGCAAAAAGAAAAACCTCAACCTGGTTTGAAATCGTCAAAGAGATCCATGTCTTTATACATTCAAAGATGGGTAAAATGGATAATATATTTGTTGGAATAATGAACATAGCAGTTGATTTACCATTCATGAATAATCACTTGCAAATTATGCTGAGCTACATAAAGATGTGCTGTCTATTTATACTGTTTGTGAAATTAATCTCAGTGCCTGGCAATAGTGTTGTTGTTCTGTTGTTATTGACATAAAAAAGATCAAGGTATCAAGTATAAAAAATTCTACAAGTGACTAATAGGTGTGCAAAGTATTTTTTAAAAGTTAGAGGATTCATATACTGACATGGACTTCTAACTCTTCAAAGTTGTTAGAAGACGTTCATGATGTATTTAAACTACTTTAATGCTATAAACTCTGCCATATGGCAGCAGAGCATAATGAGGTACACTCACCTGATGCAATGCTACATTTTTAGGTTTATAGTACTGCAGTACTTTTTCAAAGCAGCAGATTCTGTTCACCTGCTTGTCTGTATCTTCTTTCCACTCTCTTCATCGTTATTTTTCAATTCCAGCAATTTATCTGCAGCATTTTCTTCTTCATGCTTCTCCTCCTGGAGCAACTTACTTTGCCTCAGTCCCTCTTGGTAGCTGCATGTGAAATGTTCAAGTTTACTGGCAATATCTAAGGAAAATGCCTGAAATCCTGATGTCGTAACATCAGGCAGTAACAAATAATGTAGAATGTATGTAAATGTCTTACAGTCTTGGCCAAATAATAATAATAATAATAATAATAATAATAATAATAATAATAATAATAATAATAATAATAATAATAATAATAATAATCTTTATTTGTAGAGCACTTTTCAAAAACAAGTTACAAAGTGCTTTAACAAGTGTAAAGACAATAATACCCCAAAAACAATAATACAAAAACAATACAAGATAAAAGCAAGAAAACATTGAAAAGACTAAAATACACCTTTAAGATAAATATAAAATAAGTAAAATAGAATAAAATAAAAGGTACTTAAAAGAGTTCACTGACTCAGCCGACCTGATTTCTTCGGGCAGGCTGTTCCAGAGCCTCGGGGCCCTGACAGCAAACGCTCTGTCCCCTTTAGTTTTCAGTCGAGACTTTGGAACAGACAGCAGACCTCTGCCCGAGGATCTCAAGGTACGTGCTGGTGTGTATGGGACTAAAAGGTCAGAAATATAACAAGGCGAGAGGCCATGAAGAGAAAGTCAATTCTAAAACATACTGGGAGCCAGTGTAGTGAAGCTAAAATAGGGGTGATGTGGTCATATTTCTTTGTTCTGGTTAAAAGCCTGGCAGCTGAGTTCTGGACAGTCTGGAGTTGATCAGTAGATTTTTGGGTTAAACAAGTGAAAAGGCTGTTGCAATAATCCAGGCGTGATGAGATGAAGGTGTGTACAATGGTCTCGGTGTCCTTAAAAGTTAACATAGATCGAATTTTTGCTATATTTCTAAGTTGATAAAAACATGATTGAACAAGCTTTGTGGTGTGCTGCTCGAAATTTAAATTACTATCAAACCAAACACCAAGGTTCTTTGCCACAGGCTTAATGTGATTTACTAGGGAAACAGCAGGACCCAATGACCAGGATTTCTGTTTTGTCTGAGTTCAGCTGGAGGAAATTATTTAAAATTATTGACATCCATTTTTTAACTTCACAAAGGCAGTTGTTTAGTGAACTCAGCATTCCAGGGTCTGTGGATCTGACGAGCAAGTATATTTGTGTGTCATCAGCATAAATATGAAAAGAAATGCCATGTTTATGGATAATATGTCCAAGGGGAAGCAGATACAAGACTGACCCCTGAGGCACACCATATTTAACTGGACAGAACGAAGAGACATAGTTGTTTACCGACACGCATAACTTCCTATTTGACAGGTAGGATGAAAACCATTCTAAGGCAGTACCAGAGATCCCCACCCAGTGCCTCAGTCTGTCTAACATGATGTTGTGATCACTGGTGTCAAAAGCAGCACTAAGGTCCAGGAGTACCAGGACTGAGCACATACCTTCATCAGCAGACATTAAAAGGTCATTGGTGACTTTAAGCAGGGCAGTCTCAGTGCTGTGGTACTTCCTAAAACCAGACTGAAACTTTTCAAATATTTTGTTATTTTCCAGCACAGTGAGCAATTGTTTGGACACAATTCTTTATAGAATCTTTGCAATAAAAGGCAGTTTTGAAATTGGTCTAAAATTTTGATGGAGGGAGGGATCTAAACCAGGTTTCTTTAAAAGTGTCTTCATGCAAGCCGTTTTAAAATAATCAGGGACACAACCAGTAGATAGGGAGCTGTTAAAAACAGAGATCAAATGGGGCCCAACAGAATCCATTACTTTCAGTAAAAACTTGGTATTACATCAAGTGGGCTGGAGGACACTCTCATTTGTGATACTGTTTTTAAAAGCTCTGTTTAAAACTCTCTTGTTGCTGGTGAGGGACCTCTGAGTAAGAGGCAGTGGGGGTAATAGAGGCTCTGATTGACACCACCTTATTGGTAAAATAAGATAAAAACAATTCACAGTCATCATTACTTCCAGCTGAGGCACAAGGAGGGGTTGGGTTTACCAGCTGATCCACAGTCTTAAACAGAAACCTGGGATTGTGTTTGTGTAGTAATGAGTTCAGAAAAATAGTGTGTTCTCGCATCCTTATATGGGCACCCCTGCATGTTTGTCACATATTTTGTAATTACAAATGCTTAGGTATTATGTTTATTTATTTTGTTTGCATTGGAAAAAAAAATGACCAAATCTGAGACATTCCACACAAAATGGATTGCACAAAATGATTGGCACTCTCAACCCAATATTTGGTAGCACACCCTTTGGAAAAAATGATCAAATTGATAAATCAATTGCCTCCTGTAACCATCAATGACTTTCTTACACCTCTGCAATGATATTCTTTACCAAACAGCTCTATTTTAGTCTCATCTGTCCACAGGACATTCTCCCAGAAGGATCTTGGCTTCCACTGGTAAGTTTTGGTAACCTCCAATCTGGCTTTTTTATGTTTTTGTGTCAGCAATGGGGTCCTCCTCTTTTCTATTCAGATGCGACGGATAGTGCGAGTTGACACTGTTGTACCCTGTGTCTGCAGGTCAACCTGAATTTGTTTGGAAGTTGATCAAGATTCTTTATCCACTATTTGAACATTTCTTCGTTGCAATCTTCAATCAATTTTTTCTTCTTTCGTCCACGTCCAAGGAGATTACCTACAGTGCCATGGGCTGTAAACTTCTTCACAATGTTGCACACACTGGAGACAGGAACATTAAGATGTCTGGAGATGGACTTAGCCTTGAGATTGTCCAAACTTTTTAGAATTTTGGTTCTCAAAAACCTCAGATAACTTTTTTCTCTTCTTTCTTTTGTCTATGGTCAGTGTGGTACACACAAACACACAACAAAAGTCCACCTTTCTCCATTTTTACTTGTTGTAATTGTGATTTCTATATTGATAACACCTGTGAATTGCTACAGGTGAGTTTAATCATAAATTAAAGGAACATCACATGCTTCAAATACAATTATGTCTGAAGATTTTGAAATGGTGGCAATAATGTTGTCCAGTCCATTTTTGGAGTTCTGTGTGGAATGTCGCAGATTTGGCTTTTTTTCTCTGTTTTTGTTTGTGTTGTTCCAATGTAAACAAAAGAAATAAACACGAGAATACCAAAGCATTTATAACTGTGACAATTCTCTGGGAGAACTAGTGCATTATGTGACAGACATACAGGGACGCCCATATTTTTGGCCATGACTATAAAGTCTCTATATATGTAACATTAAATACATGAGAAAATTCACCTGTGCAAGAACAGCAACCTGTCCGATGGGTCCCATAAATGTGGTGATTTATGATGAGCAATGTTGTCACACAGTGTGTGTTTGTGTGTAGAAGGCCTCACCCTTTATTATATGCCTCCTCCTCCACCTTTGCCTTGAGTTCGGCTCTGATCTCAGCTCTGATCTCGTCTAAGTTGACTGAAGGCTTGGCTGGCTCACTTTCCTGCTCCGACACGCTCTTTCCACTGCATTGTTTCAGATGGGAAAGAACAATCAGCCTCGGACACCAACATTACCACAGCAGGCATTATAAAACGGAGAGGAGTGTACCTTTTGGTTGCATCACAACACCGTGGCCTTGTCTTATAATGGACTAACTGCAGCACTGGCTGAGTGGCCTTACAAACGCCATCACAGAAATGGCACTTTGCACATTTGTTATTGCTATTCTCGTCTCCCTACAGAACATGTGGCTCAGACACTTGAGAGCTCCACTCTGGCTCACTTTATAACCAGGATATGATTGGAGCCTTGCGCCTGGACTTTGTCAAACTCTTGCACAAATGTTTAGATTAGAACCCAGGATAGCATATCCGTCAACTGCAGCAGGTTTTGATTATTTTTTACGCTCTCAGTGTTATTTTAACCTCACTGGGGCTTTCTCTGCATTGTACAACACAAGGTCACACATACAGGCCAAAGGTCCCACTGCAGCACAAAATGCTTTTGATTGCTTTTGATGATTACACATTCAGGCTTGTCTCGGCCCATTGTTTCAAGGACAGTGCGGTGACCTTGGTAATCAGGCAATGATGTACATATTGTACATGTCTGCATATTTGTGTGTGTGTGTGCAAGATACACAAAACATACCATTCTGCTGCTGGTTGTGCAGACTCTGTGGAAGCGTTGCCTTTCACATCATTCGCTTCACACTGAAGAGGAGAGTGTTGAATATTGTTGAAGAATATTATTACCTTCTCACAATAATACACAAGTATCCTTTACTTTTGTTAAAGTACCAATTCAACAATGTGAAAATACTAAAATGTTATTAAAAAGTTACAGTTTAAAATCCTACTTAAATAAAAGGACATAAGTATTATAAGCTAAATGTACTTTTGGTACTTATTAGCAAAAATAATTAACGCTGTGAGTGATTTATTATTATATATGACGTTTATGACATAAGATTGTCAATGTTAATTGTTTAAGCATTATTTCACTGTTGTGTCTGGTCGAGGTGAAGCTACATTTAACTGCTTAAATATATAGTTAGGTAGTTTTATTCAGTTGTTTCCAACCTAGGAAATCTGAGGGGTTGATCATTTGGAATTTTCTCACAAAAAAAGATCTTCAGTAGAACTGCTAACAACATCAAAAACGTGACAAGAGAACCCCAACACTGCTTTTTCATCATTTCCTAGCAGCACAGGAAGACCTACCAGGACAGGAAGAGCAGCACCAGTGGTGGGGCCCGGGCCGGCTGTGGCTGGGGTCTGACCTGGGATGTTCAGGAGGTTAAACTTAGGCACCACTGCTACGCTCACCCTACGTCTGGGCAGAGCCTAGACAGGAGACAGAACATGCAGTGTCAGTGCTAAGAATGGACATTCATAGTCCCCGGAGGATGAATCCTAATGACTTTGGTGATCCTCTGACGTTTACTCCAGTGCCACTGAGGGTCAAATTTGTGGTTTTGAGTGAAATGTCTCACCAATTATTGGATGGATTGCTATGAAATTTGGTACTCCCCTGTGTGTGAATTGCAATAACTTTGGCAATCCCCTGACATTTAATCTAGGGCCATCATCAGGTAAAACTTTAAAAACAAATGACATTCCTATCAGCCTCAGCTGTACTTTGTGTTTAGTGCTAATAAGCTGTTAGCATGTTAGCACTGACCTTGTGAAAAAATCTTCAAATTCATTTCACTAACAGTCCAAAATGCAAAGCCAAAGCAAGCAAGCCACTTGAAACACAACTCACTCAGAAAAATGTATGTCCTTACCTTTCCAAGGGTGAGGGACATCGATCTAGACGGCCGTGGAACTCCATCATCTTTATAAAGAAAATGAAACACAGAATTACATAAGCAACCATTCATTTCATGTTGGTATTGTTCCCAAAGCTGCAGTGAAGCTCTTCATTTTCACGGCTTAAGGATACTCCAGTTACAGGGCCTTCTGAAAACATTGTTACACAGCAAATCAGCAGTGATGCTAAAACAAGGCGAATGCTTTATTAAACCCTTGCCAGGATAAATAAAGTTTAAAAATATTTTCCATTCACAAGCATGAAATCCTCCGTAGAGGAAGAATTTGTGTTTTGTACTCTGTGTTTTCCTGTGCTTGATCTGAATGCAGCCACCAGTGTAGTTTTACCTCCAGTGTCTATGGATCCCCCGTAACAGCGATTCGAGTTCTGGTTGGCCAACTTCTTAAACTCCATCAACTCTGCATGATCCTTCTCATATGTCCTCTTCAGATTTTCCACATATTGCATCATGACCTCAGTGGCCTTGTTCATACGTTTCTCCTGTCGCACAGTGAAAAGTCAGTCAACACAAGCCTGTGTTACAATATATGAGCACAGAAGAAGTAACCTCTGCTGAAAAAAATCACATAAAACACATTTTAAGAATGTTTATAAATTATATAAGTTAATAAATTTATAAGTATGAATGTCATTAAATGCGCCTGTCAAAAAAACAACCCAAAAGTCACTCAAGAGACTTAGTCATCTGAACTGGGTCAATAATGCCTTGTTACAGGAGCCTTAATTTCTGTGCAATTGACAGTGCTGTATAATTAGATCGTTATTAATAGATGGGAAGCAGTACAAAGAAAAGAGTAGTTTGGGATTATAAATAGCTAATAACCTTTGTACTGCAAAAACAGTAAATTTGCTTTTTAACTGACGTTTGTTTTGGCTGGAATGAGGTCAGACATGACATCAGATAAAAAAATACTCAACCTCATTTTTTTTAAATGGCTCCAAGAAATCCTAAAGAAGGCAGTGTCTTTTAAATTACAACATGTACTGCATATTTACTCAATGCAGCATTATCTTTATCTGCCACTAACTGTTCTGCATTTTCATTGTCATCTGCGTGTGTTTGCATAACTGCACCTGTCGAACTGCTCCAACAATCTCCGCTCTACTGGAGAGCCGTGTGGCCAGTCGTCGCAGCACTGCCACCGTCTCTATGAGGCGCTCGTAGGCCTCACGCTGCTCCAGGTTCTGCCACTGTGGCGAAGTCATCTGCAAGAAACACAACAACATCTTGTTAAAACTCCCACACTAAAACTAAGTGTACATCAATGTCCCTTAGTTTGTACCTGGGATTGAACTCAGATAGATAAATATTAACAGTGGGACACTTCCAGGAAACATTAAACAGATGAACGAGCACTAAAGAGCCAGAGGGAGTTCTTCTTTTCTAGTGAGTGAATCTAACATCAGCTGCTGTTTTCGAGGGCTGACCTTCAGTGCTGCTTTGAACTCTTCCAGTTCTTTCTCGGTGTCTTCCTCAGTCAGATTCCTCTCCCTCTCTGACTGTTTAAGCCTCATCTCCAGAGTGTAGTTGTCATTACGAAATGCGAGTGACAGCTGGACAAATGCATTCTGTGGGGAGGAAGTTTACTGCAATATAACACTCTGAATGGCACATTAAACAGCACTTTCAACACAGATAAGCGGCTGGTGATGGCAACACACCAACTCACGGGAATAAATACAGAGGAATCCCTAGGAAATTCTACTAAATACACATACACAGGCAAAACGAGAGTCAGTGTGGTTGTTCACATCATACTAATATGCATTTTTATAGGTTAACATGTGAGGGAGAACCATGCAGCCCTGAGACCAGAATGAGGAACAAGCTGTGATTCTGACATTGGACCTCTTGATGTTTTGCTGTGTTGATCAAAGCCAGTCTGCGCATTTTTCCAACATACATGGGCCACGGCTGAGAGGAAATATACGACCTCTGACTGTCCTGATTCGGATGCATCCCCGGGGGAGCAGCGAGAGGGGCCACAGCCCGGGCCTGACAGCGTCACTAACGTTTGCATTTTCTCCACAGGAAATCACTCTGAGTCTCTTCGGTCTGATCAGGAACAGAAAACACTTTCCTGTTGACAGAACACCGCCAAATCCAGGCAGCCAATTTTTTATGATGGTGTAATTAACTACTTTGGTAACAAAAGAGGTTACTATAAACATGGGGCTAAACATGGCAAATGTTCAGCAGTGAGTTTGAACACAATCTACTGCTCAAAGTAAACAGATTACTGTTGGTGGTCAATTTTATGACCCATTGTAAGAAGACTCAGGGCACAGTTCATTACTGTGGACTGTTTTGAAGGCAGAAATGAGAATTTTAAATTGAATATATTTTGTTAGTGAAACAATTCGTGGCATAAAGTAAATTATCTATATATACTGTATATATCTATATCTATATCTATATCTATCTATATCTATATATATATATATATATCTATATATATATATATATATATATATATATATATATATAAGTAGCTATTTAACAGTTGTGTTTAAGTAGTATATAACAAAAGATCAAGTCCCTACTACTATTCAGGCTTTCATATACTTCCCAAGTAACTTTTTAAATGCTCAGTTATTAAAGGTTTAAATAGTTTGACACAGCAGCTGGTTAGCTTGGATCAGCATCAAGACTGCTAACCTGGACCTATCCAAAGATAACACAATCCACATTCCAGGACCTATAAAGCTCACTAATCAACATCAACATCATATCTCACTTGGTTAATCCTTACCGATACCAAAGGTTTTACAGTGGGACTATGCGCCATAATTAACATGTTATATTTCACTTTTTTAGATCTGTACAAAAAGCAGTAGCTGTGAACAAACTGTTAATCCCTGTTTCCAATCTTGAGTGGTATCAACCTTCCCATCTAACTTTTTGCAAGAAAGCAAAGTGTATTTACCAAATTGTCAAACTGTCTCAATTCTTCATGATGAATGGGAATAAGCTGATGTTTTTGTAACTTTATATCTTTATTTTGAACAGAAATAACGTGTGAAAATCACCGAAAACACCTAGATCAGATCAGATACCAACCTCAACTTCTTTTTCAGTGAGTGGGGGTGCACTGGAATAAAATCAAAGAGGAACTATTAGTATGGTAAGTAATGGACATACAGTATTTATACACACTAAAATCAAGGTGTAAGGAGGGTTATTTTTGAGCAATTAGGCAGGAAAACAAGGTAAAAGTTTACTTAAGCAGCATTTGTTTTGTTACACACCAGCCTGGTAGACCTCTGTGAAGTTTGAGTTTTCGCAGCATCAGATCTGAAATGTTTGGCATGGCGTCAGACTTCTCCCTTGCCTCCTCACTACTGGCTGAGTTTGGAGAAGGTGGAGGACCTGCAGACACATTGTTGCATAAATCAGACCTGAAAAGAATTGCCTGGTCTTTTACCAGAGAAGATTTGATTCAAGTCTAAAGTTTGCACAGCAAAATTTATCTTCCTTGCTAACATTAGCCATCATAAGCTACTGGTCATACCAGATCAAGTTCAGCTGTAGGATCAAAACCCCTGAGTTTCCTGAAATGAGGAAGTGTGTATTTATTTTCTTATAAATTCAACTTTTCATTTGTAAGAAGAAAATGTCTAGTTCTGTCAAAAGTGACATAGTCTAGCTTTAAGGTCTCCAAATGCTGACGTTTAATAGATTTTATTAGTCCAAAACTTGGGAACAAGTCTTTAGGCTGTCATGTCTCAACTAAATCAAGTCTCACAACAGTCAAGTCAAAGTAAAGCCTCAAGTCCTATTTTTTGGGAGTCTGACTCCAGTCCAAGTCTCAAGTATACAGCTCTGTCTCTTTCTTCCACAGATGGTCTTTGGCTCACTTAACAATCATGCCATCTGCTGATGGAAAATGAAAACGGCATTTACTTCTCTGTTATGATGTTGCCAGTAAATGGGTGTCACAGAGGAAAAAGACAAGAACATCATCATCATTTTCTGACTGGAACAAATTTTCCCCAAGAATCAGGAAGTGCACACCCTTGGTGACACTGCTGAATGTACAGCTGAAAGTACGTCTTACATGGACAACTAGACAAACAAGGACCTTACCTTTTTCTTGTTCAGCAGCTTCACTCAGTTCTGGTAATTTGGATCCCACTATGCTTTGATTACGCATCAGCTTGTGCTCCTGTATACACAAGCAAACACACACATACATAAGAACAAAGCATATTCTGCCCTTCTTATAACTTTTTAAAGAAGGGGCATACATTACCTCTTTGAATTTAGACAGTTTATGTACACCACCCAGTTGGGAGGGGAGGTCCTTGTACCCTGAGGACTTGAAGACAGCATCCCTGGGTTTGTCTGAAAAGGTATCCTCCGCTGTAGGAGGGAAACCTGGGGCTCCATTTCTAGAATTAAGGCTGCCTACAGCATCCCAGGAAACAGCCCTCATTAGTGGAGGGAAGGCCCCAATCGTCTTGATTTCTGCTGTACAGGGGGCCTGTTGAGTAGGGGGTCGGGGGACAGGCTTGGCCACCCCTGTGGCTGGGGCCTGGTTGGGGTTACTGACTGCTGGAGAACTCTTAGGTGCGGCAGGATCACAGTTCTCCTTCTGAACAGCAAAACGGGGTGTTAGAGTCCCAGAGGACACTTTCCTCTTCTCAGTGGGCTTCCAATCCATCAATAGTCTGTTGCCCTGAGGTTAGCAAGATAATTACTATTATTAATACATTTAGCATTTCTGTTGTGTTAATAAACCTGTATTAATTGATGAAAAGAAAAATAAACTGGTCACTGTCAGCACCTTCAATGGACATTAAACTCAAAGATGCTGAAAAGAGAATCCACAGCTGCAGAGCGTGGTTAGCTCATTTGGTAGAGCAACAGCCCCATGTACAAGTCCTCACTGCTGCAGCATGGGTTTGAGGTCAGCCTTCGGCCCTTTGCTGCAGTGTGTCGCCCCATACCTCTCTTCCTGTTTCCTATCACTACCCTCTATCCTGTATCTCAACTAAAGGCAAAAGGCCCAAAAAATATCCTTAAAAAGTGCTGTGAGCTAAATGCTAACACTAGCATTGCAACAAGTGGAGCTAATGTTCACCACCAACACTAAACACAACGTACAGCTGAGGCTGATGGGAATGTCTTAAGTTCTGCAGCTATTTAGTTAACCATAGATTTGAAAAAAACAAACAGTCTTTTCCCCAGCATCCCTGGTTAGAATAAATTCCTGCGCTTTTCATTCAGAGGAATATAATCCATACGTTGATGCAGTCGCTAAGACACACACAATCCAGCACATGCTTCACTGTGAGCATGTGAAACAGTCTACTCATAATTAATTTGTTGAAGAGGGCGAGAAAAGATATTTATCCAATGTGGGGATCAAATACCCAACCCTTAGATTGTGAGTCCCATGCTCTACCGACTAACCAGGCACAACCAGTCTTAAATTATCTTTTGACAAAGAAATTTGGCCCCGATTTACTTGCCAACCCCTGTACTAGACTATCATTTTGTTTTCTCGAGATCTCGAGATCGAATTATTTAACATTATCTCGGGAAAACAAAGTTTCATTATCTCAAGATCTTGAGGAAATTGTCCCGTTATCTCAGGAAACATTTTTTATTTCGAGATAAGGATATAAATAACTCTAGATCTTGAGAAAACAAATTAAATTCACCAATTATTACGGGAAAACAGAGTAAATAAAATATGCATGGACTATATTATATATTATTAATATATTATTATATTATATTTATATTTATATTTCAGTCTGGACAAAAGTGGTAGTCACAGATAAAGCCATGTCGCTGCTAGCATGATTAAAAACATCTTTACACTCAGACACAGGAACAATGGAACTGAAACAAGCGATCATAAAAGTAGTCAAAAACATTTTCTGCAGCCAGTAGTTTAAGCATTAAGATGTTTTTTTGATATTGTTGAGTTTTATAGCCTACATGACAGGTCTCCGAGCAAAATGTTCCTCAGTAAACAGAGTTGACAGTGTGCAGGAGTTGATTTTTTTTTATGACTTCAGTTTTTTCAGTAGGTGTGCATTAGGCAACATCTGTGTTTATAAAAAGAAATGCAGTGACTGAATCTGTTCATTTTACCTCCTGATCCTGGCCTGTTACGTCATGCTGTTCTCGCACTGACGGAACCCCCAGATGCTACAAGACAGCAGAACATATATAGCGTATTTTTCTTGTGTTAATAAATATATTTATTGGACCAATAAGTATTGAGTGGTCAATTAGATTAAAAAAAGGCAGGGATGACTTTTAATTTCAAGGTAAGTTTGTATGTGTAGAGTAAAGAAACAAATTAGGGAAACATTTGTAAATAACAAAGGAAAATTAAATTAACAAGACTAGTCTTAACCGGCGATAATGAGCATGCATTGAATGTCGTTTTGTAACCACAATATTAATAATTTCTTTACCTGTCCAACCGACTGTGAGCTGACATAGGTTGCCTCTGGGGGTCCTACAGACAAATGAGCAGAAAATAACCACCAAAATCACTCTCACAAACTCCAGTAACCAAAAAAACAATAAGAAAAAGGAAACAGGGTAAAAACAAGTAGTTGTTTTCAACCTAGGCAAAGAATTAAGTGCTTTACCAGTTTGAGGAGCCACAGTCAACGAGGTGCTTCTAGATGAACTAGGTGAGGATGTTGGAGTTGGAGAAAGACCTTCGGGAAAAAAACATTTGTGAATGGAACCTAATTGAATTGATTTCAGGTTCAGTGTGACCTTCAGTCCTCTTTTAAAGTAACTAAATCCTAAAATTATATGTACATGAGTTTACCAGAGCATGCTCAGAAACTAAGACAACGTACGACTACTTACCAATCAGCTCATGCTTAAGAAACGATCTACTATGTACAGTCTCTGTGTTTATGTGTGATTCTGTGTGTGTGTTTGGGAATTTACTACCTGTGGGTGAGTCACTGAGGCTACCAGTGGAGCGGCGGCCGCGGCGAGTCAGGAAGCGGTCGCTGACCTTCTTGGCCTGTTCGAGCAGCTCCAAGTTCTTCTGTCGATCCTCCTCAGAGAGATGGAGCTCCGGCAGCTGATCTTTTACCAGGTCGATCACGTTACCTGTACTGTCTGAGAAACACATGCACGCACACTTACTTGTAATTACATGTCAAGATAATAAAAACAAAATGTAGCTATAGACAAACAGTAATGTAAATCAGTGGGCTTGTTCAACTTTTAACAAAGTCTGCGAGTGCTTTTAGCCGAGGTCATTCGAAGAAGATATTTTAGTGGGATTCCTCAGTATAAAGTACCATAATAATTCCCAGATGGATGCAAGCCAATAAGTCAGGTATTGAGCGTTGGCCAAGTCAAGGACGTTTTTATCTCTCCCCTCTCCTCAGAGTAGGGCAACAAGCTAAAGAAAAAGTAATCAAAGCAGCAAAAGCATTTCAGGCATGTGGGAGGACACGCCGACAGATTCATCTATCAGGGCACATATGCCCAAACCTAGTCTAAATGTTGTTAAGCTTCGTGTGTAACTACACCACATGAGAGCATTATTTTGTTTTTATTCATCCTTAGAAAGAGAGATCTTTCAACAAAATGAAACGAAAGCTGTTTTAAAACTGCAGTTCGGTGAAGAAGGCACTTCAGAAGATCAGTATTTTAGATAGTGTTAACAGTTTTACGAATGTCCACTTGAAAACATTCAAACAGTTCACTTATGAAAAAACAGTACAAAAACAACTGACTTTAATTTGGTGCTGGACTGAAGAAGCTGTTGCTAAAAAACATCAAAATAGCTCCCATGCTGTTGTGGTTATCTTTAGATAGTGTGTGAGTATGTAGAGAGTTTATCTACCGACTGTGGTGATGGGTCCTCCAGGCAAGTTTCTGTGCAGACGAGCTCTGGGACTGTGTGGTCTGAAAGAGGAATGATCCAGACACACATGTAAACACATGTTTACAGCCAGAAAAGCAGAAAATTATTTCAGTGTTTAAGATGGTGGAAGATTACCTGGCTTGCTCGAGGGGACGCCCGTCTTGTTGGACAATAGTGGCCTGCTGTGGGTAGACGATAGTGGGGGCAGTCATGACAACAGCTCGAATTTCACCCGGTGTAGACTTTGCAAAATACACAACAAAACAAGTGTCAAAAGTTAAAACAAGGTTACAGCATTTAAATTTAAAGGGGCTATAATATATTTTGAGTCCACAGTGCTATCCACTGGTCCACCATGCCGCCAACAATGGAGCATTTAGCAGCTACAGAATATTTCCCTCAGGAGTTGGTGGAGAATGAAGACTGGACGTACATTCATCAGGTGGACAGAGCTCGACTCCAAATAAATGATAAGCTGTACAAACTTAAAAGGTGACGATATGTCAATGCTGTGTTTACTATTGCTTTTGTTGTCCCCAAGTGGACAAAAAAATCAGCTACTGCACCCATTGTGTCCGTCAGGTACAGAGCACATTGCAATTTCATTATATTTTGGCCAGATAAGCCAGAAATGAGCCAGTACTCCTGCCGCTGGAACATTACCCAACTGTAGGTTTTCTGTGTATGTTTGCTGTAATTTGATTAAACAAAACTTAATTTAAGATTACTGGTATACATTATGGAAGCACAATACCTGACATAATAAATACAGTGGTGCATATTCCCCAACTACAATACAATATATTTACAATAAATCCAACAGCCATAAACAGTGAACCTGGATGCCTTTGGGGTAAGGTGGTTGGCCTCGGGGCAGTTACATGCTTTGACCAGCTGGTGATCCACTGCAGGCACACGTTTGTCCAAACATGAAAGATTTACATCCACTATTCTCCTCTCATCTTAGACCTTGTGACCAATTGACACTTCATTACTTCAAAACTCACTTAAAGAAGAATCGCCTCAAAACGCTTTTTGATTAAAATACTTACAAGGTTTGTGGTTTGTTGCAGGCAGACTTGTTAACTGCTGCAGCAGCAACGTTTTGCTCTGCTATAAAATAATGAATAACTCTAAGAGAAAATGAAAAAGAATAAATCAACACTCTTGAACCTACCATAAAGTTGAGGGACTCACAATAGTTTTTTTTTTTTTAAAACCCATCCTATTATATGCACAATTCATTCAAAACCCCACACTTCTAGTTTATAATGCAGGCAGTCTGTCCAGAGCCAGAAAAAACATTATACAACTATTTCTGCAGGCTAAAATGTTCTCCTACTGATGTGTAAACTGAATTTCATGTATTCATAAATTCCTGTTACATAAAATCCCAAATCCTTGTCCAGCCATGAAAGGTAAATATGCAAGTAAAGACTGAGATCAGACACTTATTCCCTAAGAGCTCCTCTCAGAGTTTATCTTTGCATTCAAGTCCTAATAAAAGGATTCCCTCTGATGGTAATGCTGCCGAAAGGCCATGGCTGTGCTGTAACAAAGGTACTTTTATAGCCTGGGATGGCATATGCCCTGCAGATTAGATTACACAGCTTCATTACATTCTGCAGATATGTCTTATCTAACCTGCGTGTTAGTGAGCAAATGCAGTGGAAGATAATATTCTCTGAGGACTCAGACAGCCAACTGTTTAACACTTTGCTATCTGCAGGATATTTGACCCCATCAAGATTATGCTCTTCATATTGTTACAATTTGCTGAAAAAGCTATATCTCTAATCTTTTGGATGTCCATGATTTAAAGGGTCAGTTCACCAAAATGACAAAGCAATTGAATTTCCTTTTACTCCTACTGATATCTAGCCATGCAGATCGTTTTGGTTTTGTCTGCTTTTGAGATATCCACCTCTGAAATGTCTGCTGCCTCCCCGGTGCAATGAGAATTAATGGCATTTGTGGTGCACAAAGCATCTAAAAATGACCTTTAAAATATTCAACAGAAACATGTCTTTGTAGAAATTGTGTCTTCATTACTCAAACGTTTTCACTGGAACCACTTTCAACAGAAAAATAACATCTAAACAGTTGCCACTGAGTTGCAAAGTAATCTGGATATTGCGCTGGTATTAAGTTAGTTATGAATAAAACGAATGAATCTGTAAGGACAGGCAGATCTAGGGGTAAATCTTGCAATTCTTGCAATTAGAACCAATCTGATAATGTCAAGAAATAAATCTTAAAGTCAAGTGAAGTAAATTTTTATTTATATATACCAAAACCACAAATCACAAATATGAGGCTTAAAGCTGACATTTTGGAGACAGCCTCCACGAAAAACATGCAAACCATGAAAAAAAAGAGTAAACAAAGAGTGGCCTACAGCAGTGGTTCTACTGTAGGTGAATGAATGTAAAAGAGAGGCAAATTGGCCTTCAAAGACTCATAAAACATCCAGGAATCAGTGGAATTGCAGATTAATTTGTTAACGTTACATGGGAAACCACACAAATATGAGAACAGAGGCAAGTAAGTAAAATATGTATCAAGTCAAATCCCAATATGGTATCTAGAATCTGTAGCTGTGATCGATTGTAATTTCTCTGCACAGCACAGCCTCAGTCTGTTAACCACAGGGAGCACAAGTCTGTTGTAGAAAAAGACATGTTGTCCTCTCAATTTGAGAGGGATTATTCAAATCCTTCTACCGTTAATCTGGAAACAGCCTTTTTGCGGACAGACTTCAGCAGGAACTTTGATCTAAAACTTTGATCCAAATGGATTATTGTCAGATTATTGTCAGTTTTTATGGCCTCACGTGACTTTGCAAAGAAACAAAGAAACAGAATATGTGCTACAAACAGTGACCGAGTGTGCACTCACTGTACTGGGAGAGCTGGAGGAACTGTCCAGCTCCTCGGGGGAGTCCTCCTCTTCTTCTGGCAGCGTGGGCATGGCGGGGTTCAGTGAGGGGCGTGAGCGGGTGTGGGGGAAAATAAAAGGTCCCTCAGCAGCACAGGGGGTGTCACAGGAGTCCTTGGAGTTCTGATCACTTTGCTCAGGAGGAGATCTCTGCAAGTGCTCCTCCTCTTCCTGGAGCTGCAAGATCATCAGGCATGCGTGAAAACACAAACACGCATGTTAGCACGTAGTTATTGAACTGGTACATTAGCTGCTGGTGTTTTTTCTGAGAAAATGAATTACACATGGTGAATGGCCATATTCTGAAGGAGGTCTTCTGGCTAACCACAGCTAAAAAAAGATATAACAGAACTAACAAAACCATTACACCATAAACAAATCCCAATATAGCTTCATTCTCGTAGCCTTGGAAGAGCAGTATTAGAACATTTCCCATCATGCTGTTACATCAGGAACTTGAAACTGCATTTTCCTATGACTCAGATGTGTGGCTTTTGAATTATCACAAGAGTGCATTCATTTTTAGTGAGAATACAAGGTGAATATTGAATACTATAGCTGAAAATGTCATGAAACATTTAATCAGCCATGGTACTTTACTTAAAAGTAAAAGAAATAATTTTTTGCTTCATGTATGCCAAACAAATATGTGAATATTAACTCGGAACAATGTTTATAGGAGTCCCTGTCTTGTTTGCATTGTGCACGAGGACGCATACGCAAGGGACGGGGACTTGAGTTTGCAACTTTGGGACTACAATATTTATTTTATTTGTTAAATTTTTGAGGCGTATTAACATTAAGGAAATGTCTGATGAGCTGAATGTCATTCACTCCCTTATTATCATGCGTAACCATATGTATCTGGTGTGCTCAGCCACAGATAACTGTAAAGCTGAGGCAACTGTAAGTGAAACACAGGTTACAAGTTTTTCATATTGTATTGCAATAGCCTGTTTAGAGTGATCATATCCCAAACAACTAATCAATGTTGATCCAGTATGCTAATAAAGGAGTCATGATAATACAGTACATGCTTTGAATCCCTTAGATATAGTTATGCAGCATTTTAAGCAGTGCAGGTGGCATGCAGCATGCTAGATAGAACGCTCAGTACAACCGTAAGAGACTTGAGACTTGACTTGGACTTGCAAAAAAGGACTTATGAGCATCTCCCACACACACAATCCTGCTGTTGGTCTCATGTTATTCCACTGAGCTACAGGTGGCGGTGACACACAGAGGCTTTGCAAATGAGGAAGGAAAACAAATATGTTTTGGTGACAGATACAAGAGTTTGACATAATGTTCGCTTATTTACAAGAAAGCACCACAGGGCATATTTAGGTTTGTGAATATACATTTACTCGATCTCCATTCACTGGGAAAATGTAAGACAAAAAGATGCATTTAAAGTCATTTAAATATTGATTGGTTTCTTCTAGACTCAAGAAGTAACAGGCAGCAATTTTATCATTTTAATCTGAGTGATGCTTAGTGGAGCAATACACAAAAACAGCTTTACAACATGAGCGACTAAAAGCGCAAATAAATACCATTTACATACCAAAGTTACATGTGTTTTCTTCTCACACAGTAACTTTCATCAGGAAGTTGCCATTTTTTTTACCAGAAACACACTGACTGGGATGCACTGAGTTGTTATAAAACATTTAGTGTAACTTGCCCTCACAGGCTGAATGAGCTCCTGAGGGACAGTGTAAGTTTTCTGTGGGAGATGGTAACTCCCTTTGGGGTGGACTTTAGGATTTTCACTTTGCAAATGCACAAAAAAGATATTTAACACAATTAAGAAAAGGGAAAAAGTCAAAAAGTATAATATGACCTCTTTAAGTGGAAAGCCAACAGCGAACAAGATATTGCAGCATTTAGCTATGAGGAGAAATGAAATAATGGATAAATCACTGCAGCTGAGGAAATTATACAAAAATGAAACGTATCTTTGTTCTAAGATAGAGGTAGGGAATGGTCAGGATTGCTAATTTGCAAAAGTCAGGAATGTGGACTCTGCACATATTCATGGAATTAATGACATCAGCTAGGTACAAAGCAAACATTTGTGCTATCAGAACCCATGATATAATCCATGCAATGTATGTTAGTAGAATTTTTTATTTGTCAAAGACAGTCTTCTTTATGTTCAAATCTTTCCCAAATCAAAGCCTGTGCTATGCAGCATATATAGAAAGGGGGCAACGGTTATCTTAATTATCGATTCATTAATCGTGTAGTTTCCTATAAAGTGATGTCCTCAAATGTATTGTTTTGTCTGACTAACAGTCCAAAAACCGACATATACTCATATTCACATACTCACAATCACAGAGAAGCTGGAACCAGTAAAATGTTACTTCCAAATTATCATCATCAATTCTGCAGCAGTTACCTGGCTTGCTAAACTAAAGAGAAACATGACCTAATTTAGTTAAATATTATGTGTGTGCAACTTGTTTGACCTCGCTGCTCTACCATTTTACTAACAAATGTATGCAAATGTAAATGCGGAGCAGATTTAACCCTCTGAAAGAGCACAGTGCACTCAGAGTCTGCACAAACTATTGTCAAGGGTTAATGTATTCTCTATTAATTTTGTTCAAACCAAAAATAGAAAGATTACCATATGCATGGCCAGCACAGGTGTGGCTGTGTCTTTCTTTACTGCCAGTAGCTGATGAATTAGGCGAGTGAAAGGCGCAATTAATTACTGGTTATTTCTGAGGCATGGCATGCACTTTATGCAGGACAAATCCTCTGTGAATTCAGGGCCAGAATATGCAGAGTGCTGTTCAATGTCATCACAAACAGAACGTCAAGTTCTTGGGAACATATAGGGACAGAAAGCCTGTGAGTCACTGGGGAGGAAATGGGTTGTTTAACTGTCTCCCAGTGAGCTGCAAGGATATTTCCTGACTGCAAGAATACTGTCACACGGGAGTACATTCACTGCTCTTTCTCAGACTGCAGAAGCATCCAGTACAGTAGTTTTAACACTTTAAAAAGCAGTTTTACAATTACAATTAGTTACAATTTAAGAAATATCAAATCTCTTGCTGGTGAGGAGAGCAAGAACATGTGTGTTTTGCTGAATCACTCAATTGTTACTCATTTCCTCTGCTTCTCATACCTGAAAGTATGAACTGTCTTCTCAGTCTACTGTTATTATTTATCAAATCAGAGCATAAGAGATCGGCTCTGCTGTTCTACCTCATATATAAATATGAGAGTGAGTCACCAAATATTTCTAACGTGATTATCTCATTTCCCTTGGAGTTCAGGGCAGCTTTGGTAACAACCATCCGCATTTGTTGTGACTGACTACACAAATAAATCTTAATTTATTTTTTACTATAACCATTTGTTTTATCCTTATCAATATTCTACTTTTTCCACTGCCCATTGTTTCTTAAAATATGCTAAATAAGGAGATGAATATTTAGACAAAATGAATGATAATTTTAATAGTAACAAGCCTGTTTTTCTAAAAAAAAAACTTACTAAGCAACCAAACAAACTTCCAAATGCAGTTTAAATGAAGACCTATGAACCAGACCATAAGTCCTGTCAGAGGCAGAAGAAATAATTGCATCTTGAAAATGACTCAGCCCAAAACAAAGATGCCAACCTGCCCTGCAGGAGGCTCAACGGTGCAGACTGTTTCCCCGGCAGACCATGAGACTGAGATAAATATTGCAGCGTAATTTAATCACTCAGATTATTTCCTGTGGCGGGGAACAGGACAGAACATACGAGCCTGAACACAAACAGTCTCTGCACTTCCTCAAGGACACAAAAAACATTGCTCTTACAGTACACACTCGATCATCTTCTAAAAGAAAACTTATTTGTGCATTAGTACCACCAGAGTTATTAGAATTAATTTGCAGCCAGGCCTCGGTGTCTCTTTCCTCAGGGGAGATGAGGGACCGGCGCCCTCCTCCCCTCCTCTGTTACATAAGCCCGCTCCCTCTTGCCAGACTTGTTTAAAATTGGTTGTGTGAAGCGTAGAGGACAGGGCCAGCAGAGGAAGTGGTTGCTACAGAGCCACAATCTGAGATAACAGGGAAGTGTGATAAAGAAAAAGAAATGGCTGGACAGAGAGATGTACAGCCAGGTGAGGGAGTAGTTAAATCCACTGACTTAATCACACACCAAGAAAGAGGAAAGCCGACACATAGTATCACTTACAGACAAACACTAGATTACGTAAACTCACCCCGGCAGTTACAAATCACGCCGGCAACTGTCAAAAAGTCCAAAAACACACCCTCTTGCACAAGTTTGACACAGCCGCAGAGACGCTAGCAGATAGGGCTAAACCTGCATCCCCCGTAGCTGCATGTGTCTACCTAAAACCATCACCTACTAAGATCCCAGAGCTCCACGCAGACGAACATATGAACCTGTCCGCAGAGAGCATGCACATTACCTGAGTACACCACTAGCACCGTAGAGAAACACACACACTCCCTGATGATCTCTCCAACTCAGACCGACTTCAGCTACTTCCCAGTCCAACTGTCACTCTTAGCCTTTTCCTCAGAAAACTCCTCTATCCTCGGGGCTTCTCCTTCCTTCTCCCGTCCCCTCTGTTCCCTGTCTTTTTTCAGCAGCAGCCTCTCTTTCACTCCTGGGAGCTTTGACCATTTAAGGAGAAGGGCTCTGTATGCCTGTTTGGGCTGCTGTGGAGTGTGTGATTGTGTGTGTGTGTGTGTATATGTGTCTGTTCGTTCTTTGGGGCTGCTGCTCCACTGATCATCCCTCAACTTAAACCTGAAGAAAGTTAGAAAAGTAGGCTATGTTATGTTTTTTTCTGCAGGGTTTGTTTCTTTAATCTTACTGTGGGAGCAGTAGGAGAATACTTGCGTGTTGTTGTATGCAAGGGCATGTTTGTGAGAGATTGACAGATAAATAGATTGCGTGCGTCCGATCAGTGTTTATTCTGCAGCCTGGGAGGAATCCACGCATCCACTTCCGAGCTCTTGAAGCTCATTGCAGTTTGGTAAACTGCACTGTCAAACCCTTGCACCCTTTTTGCTGCTTTTTTAGTTGTAAGATATTTGGGTTTTAAGTGCTGCGATCATCCTCAGTCTTGGGGTTGGGGGGGGAGGACACAGCAGTCACATTGTTCACAGCGAATTACAGCATCAGTTTGAATTAAAGTGAGCTGATAACCTTAAGTGCCACAGTGTGAAGGATATTATTTATCAAAGGAGCAACTTGTGCTAAAAAGTCAGATGTTCTTCTCATTCAATTAAATAAATAAAATAGCATTATTAGACTATACTGATCAATGTGTGTAATGTAAGTGACATTTTACAGTTGCCCCCGCGACCCGACCCCGGATAAGCGGATGAAGATGGATGGATTTTACAGCTGCAGCTGATTGAGGTGGAGGTAGCTTAAAATGCGGTACAGTTTAGTAGTTTTGTCCATTGGTTCCCAAACTGGGGGTCCAAAGGGTCACAAAATAAATCTGAGAGGTTGTGAGAGGATTAATGGGACAGGAAAGCAGAAAAAATGTTCTATTAGACAAATCTGCACTTTATTGTTAAGCATTTGATCATTTTACCTCTTGCGCCTCCAACTGTAAACCATCTGGGAAGTTTCGAAAGGGAAATTTGTCTTTGGTGCTGCTGCTAACTGCTAACAATTTATGTGAAAGGGGCCCCAAGCTTTTTATGCATGGAGCAAGTCAAGCCAAAAAGGTTGGGAACCACTGGTTAAATTTAGTATTTTTATGTATTTTATAAGCTTATTGTGTGCTTTTTATGTAAAATCTTTATCTGAAAAGGGCAACACCACTTTACATCCCCTTAACTCACCTTAATGTAGTTTATTATAATAGATGTGAATTACAATATAAAACATGTAATAATATAATGTGTTTATAAGAAAAGTTATAATTGTTAATGTACATTAATAAACACTTGTCCTTAAACCTGCTCATTATAGTGCGTTATAAACCATTTATTAATGTTTATGTTTGTACACTGCTTTTACATGCTTAATGGGGGACTCAAAGTTAAGTGAAAATTAACTAGTAACTGTCAGATTATTATTATAACAGATTAAAGTACAATATTTCTAAGTATTAAGTAGTATAAAATAATCAAAAAGTATTTTAAAACTGTACTGTACTTGAGTTAATGTACAGTAGTTATTATCCACCTCTGCCCAAACCTTTTAACATTGGTGGCAATCAGTATGGTGTCCTCTTAAAAAAATAACATTTCCAACAAGCCAGCTCAGAAAACATTAAAGACACACAAATACACGACACATTAGGCATGCAGTTATGCCTCTGCATACAGAAAATTATTCTATTTTACTGAAGTAGAGCAGGAGAGAGTCTTACCGTGCTGCAGCTGCCTCTTCCAGTGCCACCTGTTGGAGCCAGAGCACAGACACACAGCGAAAACTGTTGATTTGCATTCAACAGGAAAGCATATGTGATGCAAATGTGAAGAAGAAAAAAAAGAAAAGAAAAGAGTTAGTCAGAGTGTATGTGTATGTGTGTGTGAGAAACAGAAACAGAAAACACTGAAGGTATAAATTGAGTTTTCTGTCCTGTGAGGCTGATGCTGGCAACGTGATATTAATCTCATCGGCAGAACTAACTCTGAAACCCCCCTCCACCATCCCCCCATAACTAAGGGCAACAATAACCTGGCAACCATTTGGAGTACATGAGGTGCTTGATCCGCTATTTGAAAGCTCTTGGCCCCAAAAAAAGCTATTGTGTCGTCTGCTTTGGTTGCTCTCGGGAAAGGTTTGGTAATATTGTGATACCAAGCAAAGGGCTAAACACCACCAACTCACAGACCATTATGTAGAGCACCATTAGAGCTGAACAGCAACATGGCACTTTAAAGGTAATTAAAGAGAGAATAACTACAAATGAACTAGTATTATTCATATATGAGAGGATACAGAAAACAACACTTAACTGCCTAATGTTGTTTATTTGATGGCGCCACTTGGGAAGCACAAATCAGACTGCAAAAAGATTTACAGCATTTCACAGCCAGATTTCCCTTCATAAATAATTACATAAACCATCGAGAAACGAGGCGAAAAGCTACCTATGAGGAGATGAAGGTGATGAAGATGTATAGTGGATGCTTGGAATGTGTTGGCAGCTGTGTTAACTTTCACACGTTTGTCCTAATTTAACCTCATTTTCACTTCAGACACTGTCAGATACTTTTGTTTTTCTCTCCAGATCACAGGTTTTTTTTCTCCTGGAAGTGTTCAAACTGACCTCACACATCACGTTACATTCCAGCCAGAGTGATTTTGGTATTTCCACCCAATTCTCTCATTGATATATTCTCCATCAAAGAGCACACTGTATACAGCCACCACACACGGGCGCACGCACGGACACACGCACACGCGTACACACACACACACACACACACACGCACACACACAACATCAGAGACCACCACTTTTATAAATTATTTACAGTCAGTCTCCAGTGGATCTTTATTTATTCTACCTGTCTTTTTAAAACAGCAACATTAAACCAAAAACTGTTTTTTCCCCTTTGTGATGTAGCATTGATATAGCTAAAGTTAATGTAATTTCACATACTTGTTTTATTAGTATACAGTAGATAAAAGAGAAATATAAAATAGTTTTAAATGCCTTAATGGAGGCAGAGTACTTTGCAGAGTACTTTAGATGGCATCAGAAATACAAAAGCAGCAGCATGGGGACCGCAGCACTAACATAAATTTAAAAGCTCAACATTTATAATTGTTAGCGATGCCATTTGCTTCATGGATAAGGTTTATGTTGTGGTATGGTTCACCCTTTTAGTGCAGACTGAAATTTCCCCAACAATTATTGGATGGTTTGTCATTGAATTCTGTACAGGTATTCATGGCTCCCAGAGGATGACTCCTACTGCCTTTGGTGCTCACCTGGCTTTTCCTCTTGTGCCACCGTGAGGTTGACGTGTGGTTTTTATTGAAACATTGGCTACTTAGATGGTAAATGTGCATGTTAGAGATGTCCTTGTGAGCATGTTAGCACGTTGAGAATCTGGTCTAAAAGTACAACTGAAATGGTGTAACTAAAACAGGTGTAATAATGTTATTCTTTATTGATATACAGGTTAATAGTGCTGAGTACTAAATGTTCTCACAGTCCTGTTGTATGTAGCCTACCAGACAACCGCTAGCATGGTGTGTACATGTCACGTGTGTGGACATCTGGCTACATTTTTGTAGTCCTTTGTGATATTTTATTTTGTCTGTTGTTGTAAAGTTATGATTATAATGTGTAACTGATGTATCTGTTCATAATTATATATTATAATTATAATTATAGTGTTTTTAATAATAGCTTTTATGAGGTTTCTTTCCATTCAAGCTGTATCCTAAATCATACCAGTCCTGATGTTGTTTTGTCTGCTTCTTTACTTACTTGTGTTTTCCTTTTAATGTTTAACATCTGGAACATTTTACACCACACTAATGTTAATTAATATGCGGAGCTGCTGATAAATACATAAAAAAGGCAAGTACGATATTCTTAAGGCAATGTTTACATCTACCACTCCAAATAAGATGAAACCTTCCTCACATTAACAATGAGTCGATTGTATTAAACAGCAGCCACATCTTGAGGTACAGTAACATCAAACTAGTGCACATATTAACTTTTATAACAGCAACGTCCAACAAAAATGTTTATTGTACATCCTGCTGTAGCTTTTTGCAACTTCATTTGGTAAGCAAATGCAGGCCAGCATGGTATTGGACAATATAAACTTTAGACAGAAGGCTATAAAAGAAACAAACAAGTGGACATGGAGACGACTACTGTCTGTTCATTCAGAATATAACTCCCACTCTGAGGCCACCCACTGCTTCTCAGCAACCTCAACATGCTCCAAACTCTCTTCTACATCACAAATAAACAATTAAATATAAGACTTTGCTCTCTGAGCCATCATGGGACTCTTTCTTGGAGATGGAGATTATGGAAATATTTGCCATGACCTTTCCTGAAGGTTTGGAAGATTATGTATTATCTTATCTTAGCATAAAGACTGGAGTCTATATATGAAGGTAACAAAACCCACCTACCAGCACCTTGAAGGGTCTCATTTATATAAAAACTTAAGTGCAAAAACAAAAAGGTTGTGATTTTACAGGGGTTATGTGATACTTTTTTGGGATGTTTTTTTATCTGGATTACTATAGGATATAACATGTTAGTTAGTGAGCTTTAGAGGTGCTGATAGGCAGGTTTTTTTAAACTTTAGACATAGCCAGACTAGCTGTTTCCACATGTTTCCATCATGTATGCTAAGCTAAGCTAGCCATCTGTCAGATGTAGCTTCACACTGTACAGGCATGAGAGTGGTATCAATATTCAACTCACTCTCATCAAGAAATGAAAAAAAGTGTTTTTTTTTTAAATGTTATAATAAATGGGATGCAAGATTTTCCAGTTCTTTTGAAGAAAGTGAATTATTTTATTCACATGTGAATTGTTCTGCTTGTATTAAATTGCTACTGTAATGCAACTAAAAGCCTGCAGTGTGTACTTTGTGAGCTACAGATCTTAGATTTCTCATGGCCTTTATATAAACTTCCTCAAAGCACTTCAGAACAATTCAGATGTAACCGTTAAATGGCATAACGTACAGCCACAGAGAACTATATAATATATATAATTAAAACTCTCTGACAAAGTATAAATGTGTTGTCAATTATGGGATGCAATGTAGCTAAAAATACTTGACCTTTGCTGTGTTTGCATAAAAAATCATTTTGACTGCCTGCTGACTGCCCCCATTTTCCCCATGGCCCCCTTTGATAGATAACAGACACTCCCTCATGCTCATTCTCTCTTCCTCCTCACTGTACCAGCTGTTGTGTGCAATGTAAATATCTGCTGTGCCTATTTTCAGACATCCTCAGGGATTACCATTAGAGGAGGAAGTTGCTTTAATTCATCTGTGTCTCACAGTGTACCTCATGACCACGATAACACTGAGGCTATATTTTTGTAATGCAGCCATCATACCATTCATGGGTAGCTGCGGAGGCTCATTGACTTTTGGGATTACAGGAGATGGAGAAGGACTGTCTCTGTCTTCACGCTCCACACTGGACTCTGCTGTAAAACCTGCAGCTTCTGTTCCAGGATCAGCTCGCAGACCGGGACCTGGATACTTACATACGAGATGTTAAGAGAGATATTAAAATCACTATCATTGCATCAATACTAATGCAAATACTCTTACTATAACTATACATTTAAGGTCCTAAGTCTTATTTGCTTCTGATTGAGAGTCTAGTGACTACATGTGAACATGAAAAACCCTGCCAAAGTTATAAAACTTAATACCGCTGAATAATAACATAAGATGATAAGATGATTACCAAAGTAGGAAATAAGAAAATCTAAATTCTATTTATTGTTTTGGACAATTGTCAAATCTTTGCTTTTTTCTTATATAAATACTGCAAAGTTTTACCTCTACAAATGAAAGAGAAAGAAGAAAACATTACCCTTTGAACTGCGCACAACTCAGAAGTACCCTGCCTGCACCCTGTGATGAGGAGTTTGTAAGTAGACATTACCTTACACAAGGTGTCACTGGCAAAAATGTTTGGGTTCCCCTACCACACAAATTTACAGCTAATATGGTTTATTAAAGGATTTTATGCAAATGTTTTAAATGTTTTTTTTTACGTTTCATAAAGGCAATATTAAAGACATATTGCATAATGTCAAAAAGATTTGTTTGTAAAATGTGAAGTGTGTACGTACTCATTTTTGTCAAGTTCTGCTGCTCAGAGACAAGTACTGTCTCAGGAGTGCAACTCATAAGCCCAACTCGAAACCTTTAAAACCGTCATGATTTACTCTGGCAGCTGTTGTTCCCACAGGAGTGTTATGAGCGCTACATGACAAAATGATTGCCTGACTATAAAAACATCTCCATGCAGCAGTTTGAGATGAAATCTGGATTATATTATAAGCTAAAATCTTCCCTGATGGCTCCCTGGTGTTCATGTTTTAAAATATTCACTGGGCTATTATGCACACCCATGGTAATATAAATTTGATTTTAAATTATATGTTTTTCTAATTTCTGATGCTTTAAAAAAAAAAAAAATGTCCAGGTGTACATTTTCAGAAGGGCTACTTGCAGCAATAAACCAGTGTAACCTTTTGAAATCAAAATCATTAAAAAAAATACATATTACTTTGACTGTTACTCTGATGTAAAGCAAACACACACAAACCTGAGTTGGAGCTTGCTCTGTGATCTTGACCTCTAGAACATTCAGCTGCTTGTCAGTGTTGGCTGCTCTGCCTAGGGCCTCCTCCACCCTCCGAGTGATGCTCTCCATCCTCACTCTCACCTGGCTCACCCTCTGCTCGCTCTCTCTCACCAGCTCGGCGGTCTCCAGGGCACCACAGACCATCGTCTCCATCCGTCTGAGAGTCGCCAGAAGGCCGTCTGCAGTCGCCTGAAGCTGGGTTTGCTCCTGCTCTGAGGCTGCTCCGCTGGTGATCTCCGTGGCCACTGCTGCATCCCTCTGATCCTTCACAACCTTCCCCACAGCTCTGTCTGGTTCTTCCCTCTCAGTGTTGGTTTCCTTGTCAATATGAAGAACTCCACTGCTGTTTTTTTGCTCAGTGACAACCTCCTGTGCAGATCTCAGAGAGGCTTGCAGGTGGCAGATCTGCACCCTCATATCAGTGATGGTCTGCTCTGCTCGCCGGAGCTTTGCTTGTGTCTCAGAGAGGTCCTGGCCTGATTGGGTTTCTTTTGTCCGAGCTTCAGCCCCCTCTACACTGCGGGCTTTCCACCAGTTCACCACAGCCACCTTCTTGGCCTCCAGGATTCGAGTCTGGCTTTGCTTTTGCTCCTTCTCCCAGGCTCTCCGCTGCTCTCCAACTTCTCCTCTTTCTCCTCCCAAACACACTTGTGCAGCTCCAGCTCCTGCAGCCTGAAACCACCACTACAGCTTTATAAACATCTCCTTTGCACTCTGTTACGTCTGTAGCTATCAAAGGGTACTAAAACTGCACTTATCCCTCATAGAGAGTAACACACAGAAGTGACTCCTATGGGTTGTGTCATGAAGATGCCCATAAATACACCTCCATACACCACATTTATTAGCTGGAGGAAGCTTTGCAGAACACAGACTAACATCAACCAAGTCTACTATCTGTTACCATAAGAGGAGAAAGGGAGGTAAAAACTCACATACACATTAACAAGCTGCTGCTTGATGCTTGCCTGTTGCAGTTGGCGGTGAGGAAAAGGCCTCTCCTGTGTTTCTACAGGAGCAGAGTCCTTTGTATGAGAGAAGGAACAAGAATGATAAAACAGCTTTATAGATGTTACTGCATGTAATAATTATCATCCCCTGTTGACTGTCTACTCTGTGCTCACCCTCTCAGGATACTTATTGTGCAGAAGATGAGCTATTTCTGCAGACTTGATCCTGTGGATGATGCTCTGAATATCATCACTGTGCGTGTGCAGGGATGGCAGGTTAATGTCGCCCAGAGCTCTGTGATGCTGCTGCAGATAAGGAAGGCAGAGCAATGACGGGCAAAACGAAACAGAAAATCAGCCCCATGAAAAGATAGGCGGTGGAGGGCGAGCATTTCCCACCTGCTGCATATTCTGCATCTCGCTCTGCAGAGAGCGGTGGTTTGGAAGATCTCGACCGTAGAGACTCTGAGGACCGACACAGTGTCGGTCATACCTGTTGGAAACAGACAGAAGAAATGGAGCTTCAACACTTAAACTAATTTGTGCAAGTCATACACAACTTTGTGTTGAATGTCAACCTGCTCATTGGCTTGCAATTCTTTGTCTTCCTTGGAAATAGCCCAAAAAGCTTCTTTCAAATATTTAACTTTTATACAAAACCATGATAGCTCTGTTAAAGGGGTACTCCGCAAGTACTACCCTGATGATGCTTGGCCTTAAGACCTTCAACTGGAGGTTAAGGGTTTGAAACTATTAGGTATTTAGGAGGCAGAGAGGGTCTAAATGAAAGATGGTATTGGGTTGCATTGTGGGAAATGTAGGATACAGACAGAAGTCAGGATATCTCTGCCTCTGCAGCTTTGATTTGGATTGTTCTTCTTTTTATTGCAATACTTAATCACTGGAGTGAGACTGCTCCTTACTGCTCCACTTTATGCTCTTTAAAAAATAAGAAAGACCAATGAATAAAGTACAAATATCTTTGAGATTATGCCAAAGAAATGTACACGGAAAACATTCAGATACAGAAATATATATTTAAACATTTTAATTTACAGATGCTTTTATCCAAAGCAACATATAAACAAGGTACAATCCAAACCACGATAGATCAAGGAGAAGCCTTTCAAGACTAGGTGCAGCAATTCTCAGTTCAACGTCATTTATTAAAATTACCTCAAAAGAACTTGGTGTGAATGTTCCTGTAACCTTGTCAGCTCTGACTGCAGACCCTGCAACACCAGAACAGACTTAATGTTTTGAATAAAAGCCCAAATACATTTTCAAAACCATTTAATAAAACATAAAACACGCATGTAACATACAACATAGTAGAAATTGGCAGTTTTCTCATTAACATTTTCTGAAATCAATCAATGATAAGTTTGCTGATTGTTACTAATACTTGATGTTATTGCATGTGAAAATGGTTTCTTTTCCTGATTTAACATAATGTAATGTTCCTACACTAATCTACTCTATATGTCAAATAAGATGTACTTAATTACATCTTACCAAAACTTCTTTCATATTCAAACTGTTGTCTCAGCTTTGTGACAAAGTGTCAAACATACCTCGATCATGTTGTGATTCTCCACATGAGAGTTCTTCATCTTGTCCATAAGAATGTCTTTCTGCACAGGAACACTTGACAATAAAGTTAAGAGTTCAAATAAAAAAGTAAAAAACGAAAACGTTTTTTTCTGATGAAAATACCCAGATAGACCAACCTTTGTGATTTCTCTGTCTCTCAGCGTCAACATAACCAGGGTTTCCTCAAGTTCGGCCTGTGAACATGTAATGTTCAACTCTCAGTTTAAACTCAAAACACAGAGACAAACACATGCATGTTTTACTGTTCCTACCCTCAACTCAGCATTGACCTTCCTCAGTTTGTTGATGCTATCTTCAGAACATGTCTTTTCAAAGGTGAGTTTTTCATTCTGTGGGGACACAAAGAAAATGTTATTACAAGAAAGGAAAGAGCTCACATTTACACCCACCTTTAAGCTCTACATTACCTTGTCTTCAAGCCTCCCGATGTGAACCTTCAGGCATTCAACCTCATTGCTCTGAAGACGTAAAGAGATTTACATGTAAATAGTTGCAATAAAAAATAACTCAAATTTAGAAGGGTAGCTTCACTGGGAGACCGTTACGTGTGTGATTACCAGCTTGGTGCAGCCAGTCTGGGTACGGTTGGCTCTCTCCTGGGCCTCTTTAAAAGACCGACGGGTCTCCTCCAGTTCTTCTGTCAAGGATCTGGCTCTCACTGCTGACTGCTGAGCACTACGTAAGCAAAAAACAGCTGATTGTTTTTATTCAGCAGAGGATCCAAAATGAGAGGAACAGATATTTTCTTCTGGTTTTACCCAAATATAAACTAATAGAAGAGTGAGGATTGCCTGAGGTGCTGTAATGCAGTTTTCTATAGAAAAGAAAGCCTTTGTACTCATAGTGTGACTGATATTTAAGTAGTAAAAACTCCAGCTGTATCTACACAATACACATTTCTGTGACATTAGCGTTTATTATATATGCTTCATTGCACTGTGTACATGTATGCATGTATATGTACCTGTATATCACATCCACCTCCGACATGTACATACTCCTGCATCCTTTGCACTCTGCTCACTGCACTATTTGTCAATATGTCTATATGTTGTTCATAGTGTTTATATTTGTGTTGTCTAGACTGAAGTGTGTCTGATTTTGTTTTATTTTTATTAGCGTGATTTTTTATTTTTGTATGAGTAAGGACATCGTGAGCAATGTGCAATCCTGAGTCAAATTCCTCGTATGTGTACACATACCTGGCAATAAAAGCTGATTCTGATTAGTTCTGGTATAAGTTGTTCATTAAATTTGTAGTAGAACATGCTGATTTGATCGATTTCACAATTATTCTGCTGGTAGCTTGATGTGGCAGCTGCAGCTGGTGAAGTTTTATGGTTCTAAATTTGTGTGGGAAATCTGGGTGGGACAAAACTGTTGAACATGGGAATGTTTCGTGTTGTAGTGGTGTTTTATCACCATTCAAAATGGCAACTGTTTGATTGAAAATTAAGCAAACTGGTCTTGTGCTTTCCTCGGGTAAAAAACAACAACACGTATTTCTTAGTTTGCTCATTCTTAAACATGGTTTTCAGAGTCAATCTCTATTTGCATTGGTTACTTTTGAACATGGCTTTTCACTTTTTTAATTCAAGCATCTGATAATGTTCTTGTTAACTGCGGCAACTTGCAGCTAAAAGATGTGTGTGAGTTGACATGATAGAGATGTGTCACTTGCAAGTGATCTGATTTGAATTCAATTGTATTTCTGTCCTGATCTGGACGGAAGTCCGCCTATTGTGTATGTGGAGTGAGATGATTGCTGTTCTCCCTGCTGCTTTTTGATCACTGAATGTGTATTATTGTGTTACAGAATATATTTTGTGTTACATTTTGCATTGGAAGTGTACACTGAAGTGATTAGGAAATAAATTCTGAGACAATGAAGTGCTCTTGTGAAGACTATAGTAGTTAAACCTTCACCTGGCCAGCTTTGCTTGCAGCTCAGTGATCTCCAGAGTGAGCTGCAGGTTTATGTCTTCACACTGAGCCACAGTCCTTAACAAGCTGCTGTTCTGCTCGCTCAGCTTGTGGTGAGCGTGCTTCAGTTCGGCCACTGCGGCTAACATGTCTTTTCCATCACTGAAGCCAAACAAACAGTTGATTATACAGTGATTATACGAGGTAAAAACATGCAGTGATTAAAGGAGAGAACTTACCAGGAACACTGGTGGCTTTCTGAGGAAGCAGCTTTGCTTTGAAAAGATGAGAAACCCAGCCCTGAGAGGAAATCGGGTTTAGTAAATTGCCATCTGATGTGATTAAGACATTTCTCAGAAGTTTGGGCAAAACAGTGACAGCCTACCCTTTACAGGCACAGAAGAGTCTGACCAAGATACATGACTGCCATCCACATCGGTGCTGAAACAACAGAGGAGTCCTTAGTTGCCACAGCTTATAGAAAATGCTGCTTAATAAAATACTTAATCAACAATACACTAGTTACATTTAATATAAACAGAGTTTCTTGCAGGTCATCTTCCCTTTTTTCATTTCTATGAATAATCTACATTGACACTCTTGCTGCTGTCTGAAGAGCAGTAGTAGAACAAGTATTATGATAATTTAGTTAATTAAAAGCTGAAATACCACAGTATAAAAATTTGCACCTTTTAGTGTGTTATATTTATGGTTTGACAATTTTTAATGATACATTTACATGTAAGCAACACTTAACTAACTATTTAGCTAATTTTATCAATTTAAAATACTGTTGGGCAGTTTAATCTACAACAACCCATCATATTTTTATGATCGTTATTGTTCACATGAAAAATCTTATCTGAAAATTAACTCGAAACTAAAGCACCCAAATAACTATGGTGGAGTATTGAAGTAGTGAATTGTAATGTAACCTTCTGAAATGTAGTGAATTACAAGTATAAAGTATCATAAAATAGAAATACTGAAGTAAAGCACAAGTATATCAGAATTTACATTCCACCACTGCTGAAGAGGAGTACTTAACTTCTCAAGTTTTACACCCGCTGAGTTATTAATAAACATTCAATCACTTCACTTAATCGCTTCAGTTTCTTTGAGTGATTACTTTTCTTTTAAAATGTGTTAAGTATTTAACATTTTAAATTGCTTTGCAGCAAAGGCAGCTACAGGGGGGAAGTTTGGGAGTAAATAGTGAGACTGAAGTCGAAGGTTTAGTTAGGAGAAAGTCACTGTCAACTGTGCTTTCCAATAAATTGGAGAACATTTCTCTTTCCCTGTAATTTTACCACTGAAAAGCACTTTGTAACTTTGTAGAGAAAAGGCTACTCAAATACAGTTTTTATAATATCATTCTTTATGAATCAGTCAACACTGATTTAAGCGAAAAGTGACATGTATATAAAATATAGACACGATGGTTGAAAATAAAACTTGCACATTGGTATCCAGCTGGAAAGTCATATTTACAAATTACCATGTTTTCTTTGTCCCCGATACAGATAAAAAATGTCTCTTTAAGTGATTTTTTGTTGGATTGCATTTTCAAAATATTACATCATTTTATATGATTGTATAAAAACTGCACTGCAGATGCTGCTGGATTTGCAGATATTTGAGCAGGAATACATTTAGACAACGTCACTTTACATAAAGGTGGATATTAAATCATTAAAGGTCCTGAATATGATGCTTAACCCTGCATGACATCCATCTGTATACCTCCTATACACTTTTGTCTCACCTGTCCTGGCTGCACTGTGCGATCCACTCCCTCATGGTGGAGTGGAACGTCTCTCTGCTCACATGTGGGTCCTGATGATCAGGGTCAAACTGCCGTTGCAGGGCAGCCAGTCTGTCCTGCTCCGGACTCTGAGCTGTTATGGTCTGCAGGTACTGTACGATGGTGGAGGCCAACACCTCTCCTGAGGACAAGAGAGACGCAATGATTCACGGTTCATATGATTATAATCTGTTTTGTTTAAAATCCACACAAGCCTGTGTACCTGTGTTGGAGGTATTACATGCATTATACATGATGTCAAGGAGTTCATGTTCAGAGAATCCACTTGTGTCTTTGTTGTCCTCGAGCACTTCCCTCATGTCACAGCCGGGTGACTCCCACACTAAACATGTAGAGATGGGCAACTGTTAGTGTACATACACGCACATTTTATATAATGTATAGCAAGTTAATATACTGTATGTATATTTGTTTCATACTCTGATAAAAGAACAAAACAACTCTTACCATCATTGCCGTCAGACATTGTGCTTGTTTCTCCTAAATCCCACTGTGCTGATGGACTGTCATGTTCCTACATATCCTGATATTTTAAGAAACATTAAATACACTTTTACCTCCATGTACTATGTCTAGAGGACAAAACTCACAGTTGAAATACAGATAAACACATATTAAAAGCAATGAATCTCAAGTGTGAAGTGAAACATCTATGATTTTAATAACACCTCTCCAGATCTGACTACTTCTAATGCTTACATGTATGCAGTGGGATGTAATGAGAGGGCTACATATCACATACTATCTTATTGTCATCCTACAGAAGTAGAGGCAATAATGCGTCAAAAGAAGAAAAACATGTTTTCAAGGAGGAGTACAAAATAGTTCAACCAAATCTCCACTACTAAAAATTAATTCTATACATGTTAAATCTACAGTGTTCCATTAAATATTGTGCACAGTGAGATTATACAGTAGTTTAGTTAGTTACTAAGCCAACAAATGCTATTTTAAAAAGAGAGACAAGTCATAAAAATAAGTCCTTACTTCTCAGTCCGGGCCAGTTCCCCTGAAAAAATTAAATAAAACAAGATTGTCAAATGTTATATGAGGAGCGTGATTTTCAACAAATTTTCTTCCTCTGATTCACTGTGATGGTAGCACAAGAAGTCTTCAAGATGCCCTTATGCTTGTTTTCACCGCTCCACATCAAAACCAGCTGACACCCCCCCCACCGCTGCCAAAATGCTACCCGGCAGAGGTCCATGACAATGATATAATGCCTTTCAATTGAAATTCACCGTTTTAACATATGAAATGCACAGTCGACCAAGCATTTCTTCCACATGTTGAACTTCAGCAAATGTAGGGAGTAAATGTGATTTGCCAGTCAGTGCGTGGCAAAGGAACTTATTAAAATATTCTACTAATGCTAATTAAACTGATGGTATTGTCCAACTTTCATCTGCATGTTTAGTTTCGTTTGAAAGGAAATTGATGCCGATCCCTTAAAGCTTACTGAAAACATATTAAAATGATTCCTGAAGATGCAAATATTGCATTTGTTCTATTGTTATTATCTTATTGTTCTATTATTACCGGGAACAAGCGTGTCTTCATCTCCACCAAAGAGCACCGAGTGTTAAACAGGAGGAACGCTTTCAGGCTGCCGAGCAATCTAGACGGGAACCATTTCCCGTTGCACCGTCCGTTTGTTTGTTTCCTATCGGAAGCATGAAGTAGCTACCCACAGACAACAGGCTGGAGATTTATTTTATATATATAAATCTAGCTTCACGTGGATTTTCCCCCCGTCAAGATGTCTCGGGGCTCTATCGAGATTCCTTTACGGGACACGGATGAGGTAAAAGTCGTCTAATATGTAAACTTGACTTAATATGGATGTTTGACTAAGTGAAACCTCGCTGTGCTGCTAGCCGTGGATGCTAACTCCAGCTAGCATTAGCTAATGTTCTGTACAACACATCGGCGGATGTAATGTAGAGTTATTTCAGCGGTACCCGAAACGCAAACGCCAGTAACGTTCATGCTTGGAGCAGCAAGCACACGAGTACTAACGTTAGCAAACGTTGCTACTGTCTACAGAAACACGAGCTCAGTTGTTAAAGAAATGAGATGCTATATTATCACGTCTGTGATATTTTAAGCTACAACAGCATTGGTTATACAGTCTTAACTCTCCACAGCATCGTTATATTTTTCTTTTAAGTAAAGAAGCCCCCAAAAGTAATGAATCTGGATCTTTATTGCTAATAGCAGTGAGTGAAAATCATCTATCACACTAACAACATAATTTCAAATCGAGGTACCGATATACAACTTTGACAGAATGAAGTTTGTGGTGCTGTTGGGTTGTATTGCTTTATACATAGATGTGTTTATGATATATGGCCTTTAATACAACCCTTATTGATGTAAACGGGGTGGACAAAATATTAGAAACACCTCTCAGTATAACACAATAATATGCAACAGCACTACAGCCTTCAAAATAAAGGTAAATCAACACCTCTCTATTAAAACCTTCATTATGGTAGGATTTATTGTAACAGGGCTGTGGTGTTAGACTGCACAGATTAAGCTAAAACCACTGACAAATGAGTGTATAGTGTGATATGGTATCTGTAAAATCAATGGAAACAGTGTTGATGGATTAAATTACCCAGACAGGAGGGTCGGTTTTGGTTAATACAGTGAATCAAATACTTGCATACAATACAAGGTACTTCATCATGTTGTCATGTAAAGTGATCATGCACATTGATTTGGCACATCACCCACAATATACCCAGAAATATTACAGGGATAGCTACCAGACTATAAATGGTATTGTAAATGGTCAACACATAGATATTGTCTCACAGTATGGGGTGTTGTATCGCCTAACCTTCATTCATGATACGTAGTGTATGTGTTTTGTCAGATGCCGATGCTTAATGACGTGAGTAAATTGTATCTTGCAGGTTATCGAGCTTGACTTTGACCAGCTGCCAGAGGGAGACGAGGTCATCAGTATCCTGAAGCAGGAACATACACAGCTGCACATATGGATCGCTCTGGCGGTGAGTCAGTGGAGCTGCCACAGACATCGGTTTTATTATCGTAATGTAGAAGGCTAGTTTGTGAATAAATTGGACGCACTCCAGATATCAAACTTTATTAAAGCAGTGTTAAATTTAGCCCATTGGAACAGTTTTAAGTTTGCGCTTTTTTTCAGCTGGAGTACTACAAGCAGGGCAAAACAGAGGATTTTGTCAAGCTTTTAGAGGCGGCTCGCATTGATGGAAACCTTGACTACAGAGACCACGAGAAGGACCAGATGACTTGTCTTGACACTTTGGCTGCTTACTATGTCCAGCAAGCGCGTAAAGAGAAAAACAAAGATGCCAAGAAAGAGCTCATCACGCAGGCCACACTGCTCTATACTATGGCAGACAAGATCATCATGTATGACCAGGTAAGAAGAAAAAAAAAGACTGTCAGAGAGATAATGAGATAAACTGCTACGGCAAAATAACGAAATAAATATAATATGCTCGTGTCTCACTCAGAACCATTTGTTGGGAAGAGCCTGTTTCTGCCTGCTGGAAGGAGACAAGATGGACCAGGCTGATGCTCAGTTCCATTTTGTCCTCAATCAGTCCACCAACAATATCCCCGCTTTGCTCGGCAAGATGAATATAAAAATAAAACATTAACTTTGACCATTGTGATTGATTCACTGAAATAATCACACTGTTGTCGTTCAACAGGTAAGGCCTGCATCTCGTTCAATAAAAAGGACTACAGAGGAGCGCTGGCATATTACAAAAAGGCTCTGCGCACGAACCCTGGCTGCCCAGGTAAACACGTCACTTGTGTCTTCCTTAAAACAACCCTGTTTTTCTGACTACTGCTACTACTAGAGGCTAGTTCAATTCATTAGGGCCCGAGCACGACCGTGTGAGGTCCCTATTGAATTTGCTAAGATTATATATATATATATATATATTTTTTTTTTTTTTTTCTGCAAAGTAGGCTCCATTGACAGGGCCTAAAAAATTTCAACAGGAAGTCGGCCATTTTGAATTTTACGGCCATTTTTGGATGATTTACACACTCCGTACTTTAACGAACTCCTCCTAGGGAATTAGTCGGATCGAAATTTGCTTAATGTGAGACTTAAACAACATGTCCTGATCAAAGATAACTCCAGGATTCCTCACAGTGGTGCTGGAGGCCAGGGCGATGCCATCCAGGGAAACTATATCTTTAGATAATGCGTCACGGAGGTGCTTAGGCCCCAGAACAATAACTTCAGTTTTATCTGAGTTTAACATTAGAAAATTACAGGTCATCCAGGTTTTAACATCCTGTAGGCACATTTGAAGTTTAGCTAACTGATGAGTTTCATCTAGCTTGATCGATGGATATAATTGAGTATCATCTGCATAACAATGAAAGTTTATGCAACATATACATATGAGTATTAAAATGTCAATATGCCAGTTGTTTTATTATCAACAAATAAAATAAAAAATTTAATGAGGCATGATTTTACATTTGAACAATAACTTTATGATGAAATAGGGCAGGGTGTAAATGGAAATTAATAGTACATTTTGAACAGGAAATTGTTTTAAATGATTATAAATAACTAAAAACACAATCAAGTTACTTGAATAAAATAAATAAAGGGAAATCTTATTGCCAGAACTAACAATTATTTTCCTATTGATTTAATGGTTGTCTTTTCAAATAACCATCGTTCGTTTGGTCTATAAAATGTCCCGCACGTCCTCCCATTCTTTCAAGGTCACTTCTTGAAATAACCAAAGACATCAATTATACAATGTAATAAAATGGATAAAAGCAGCAAATCCTTGCTTTTGAGAGGCCGTACCCAGATAATGTCTGGCATTTTTTGCTTGATAAATGGCATACATGATAAATAGATTTTTTTTTCCCACCATCATTGCTGATTAATTTTCTGTTGAAGAAGAAACGGATTAATTGTTTCTGTTATCAGCAAATATATATATTTCAGCTGGCAAAACATTTATGTCCTGTAATTCCTTTTTGCACATCTGCCAACATTGATGCTGACATCCAAAAATCTATGATAAGTATATTTTTATCCGCCGGGCTCTGTCTCCTGCTACTATTATTATTGCATTTGTCATACAAATTGATTGTTGTTGCAGATTATTCCTCATCTATCTTCTGTCTCTTTCTCGTCTTGTGTCTCTGTCTAGCTGAGGTAAGGCTGGGGATGGGCCACTGTTTTGTCAAGCTCAACAAACTGGAGAAGGCTCGTTTGGCTTTTGGCCGAGCCCTGGAGCTGAATTCAAAGTGTGTCGGAGCTCTTGTTGGTTTGGCGGTTTTAGAGCTCAATAACAAGGAGGCTGATTCTATCAAGAATGGAGTGCAGCTTCTGTCGCGGGCCTACACCATCGACCCCAGCAACCCCATGGTGCTCAACCACCTTGCTAACCACTTCTTCTTCAAAAAGGTAGCCTTGTTGCCATTGATATACTGACAAAATTCTAAACTGGAGTGCCATTTAACTGTTAATCTCACCTGTGTGTTTTTGTTTACCATCAGGATTACAGTAAAGTGCAGCATCTGGCCCTCCACGCTTTCCATAACACAGAGGTCGAGGCCATGCAGGCGGAGAGCTGCTACCAGTTAGCCCGCTCATTTCACGTGCAAGTAAGATCCTGACTGATTCCGAGGCAGCGAACTGTTTGTTCACCGTGTTACCACTGATGTTTCTATTCTCTTTTTCTCTTCAGGAAGACTATGACCAAGCGTTTCAGTATTACTACCAGGCCACTCAGTTTGCCTCGTCTACCTTTGTGTTGCCCTTCTTTGGCCTGGGTCAGATGTATGTCTATCGAAGGGACAAGGAGAACGCGGCACAGTGCTTCGAAAAGGTTTTAAAGGCCTATCCCAACAACTACGAAACTATGAAAATTCTGGGGTCTCTTTATGCAACATCTGATGATCAGGAAAAGCGAGACATAGCCAAAGTAAGCATCCTCCCATCATTCCATCACAGTTGTTATCAAAAAACTTTTGCTGATTTGACTACACTTGTATCTCAAAAATTGTGTCTGGAATTAGCTTGAGGCATATGCTCTATGGTCATTTTTGGAGAC